CTAAGGCTATTTTAGCCGCATCAAAAAAAAAAGGTTCTAGGAATAAATTTTCCAAAACTATTTATATATATATATGGAGCATACTTTTATAATAAAGAAATCTAGAGAAAAATAATTAAGGGAAAATTAGAAAAAGAAAATAAAGCAATTCTATGGTTATAATAGAATCATCAAGAGTACAAAAATTTATTTAATATTTAGTCTAATATAATAAAAATAAATAATAAAATAAATAATTGTATTTGAAAAATAAGATTTTGAAAATTCAGAAATTAGTTTAAATTTTTTTTTTGTTATCTTTTGAAATTTGAAACACGCACGTTAAAGAAGATATTTTGAAAGTATTTTTAATAAAGTTGATTTATCAGGATCAACTGTTTTTTATAGTCTGTGAGTTTAATCTATTCCAGAACATATATGAAGTATGTAAAACATTTATCAAGGGGGAGAATTTAGTGGATGGGGTTAGTGAAACGTTAGGGGTTGTGTCACATAATGGGGTAGCTTCTCAAAACCTTGTTGGTATAACATCATCACTTTCTTATAAAAACTTTTCAAAATATATGTCATATTTCTCAAAGCAATACATTTTTATTAACCCCAAATATATACAATTGAAACTATAAATTATAATAAATATAATAAAAAGATAGTCTCAAAAGACAATTCTTTTACGTCCGAGATTTAGTTTTTTTTTAAAATTATTTTTTATGCCAATTTTTGTGCTAATTTATACTGCAAAGAATTTTTTTTCTAACCCTTTAAAGCATACATTTTTCTTTAACAGGAATTTATCTTTAAAGTGCATTATAGGGGGTTTTAAGGGTCGCTGATTACGAATCCTAAGCCAGATTTAAAAAATTTTCAAAATTCAAAATGGCGGATCCAATATGGCGGACAATTTTTTTTAAATTGATCATATCCGCTCGAAACTGGTGACTCAGGGGTTTTCGGGGTAGCTGATTACGAATCCGATGTCAGTTTTTCAAAATTCAAAATGGCGGATCCAATATAGCGGACAATTTTGTTAAAATTGATCAAATTGATCACAGACACACACACAAAAGCGCCATTTTGAATTATAAAAATCCAAAGTCATATTCATAAACAGCGACATCAAAAACACTGTAGTAACAAGTTTCAAGCAAATCCAATCAATTTTTCATTTTGTCATCCGCCATATTGGATCCGCCATTTTGAATTTTGAAAATCTAACGTCATATTCGTAATCAGCGCCCCCAAAAACCCACGAGTTACAAGTTTCAAGCAAATCCGATCAATTTTTCATTTTGTCATCCGCCATATTGGATCCGCCATTTTGAATTTTGAAAATCTGATGCCAGATTCGTAATCAGCGACCCCGAAAACTTTATAGACATTATTGTTAGGTTATTTACTATTGTTGTTTAGTCACCATTACATTTATTGTAAAAAAACGCTATTTTTAAAGTTAATTTATTTATAACATTTATTTTATTTATAAAAAACACTTTTTTAATGTAGTTATATTGTAATAGACATTCTAAAATACATTTTAAATACATTTTGTTACTGAAATGTGTAAAATAGTGGCTGGAGTATTCAAAAAAGTGCAAGAAAAAAGATGACACTCAGAAGTGTCACTATGCCGCAAAGGGTTAAATGTCAATTAGTAGTCAAATTTAAAAAAAATACTTTAACCCCTTTGCAGTCTAGTAGAAAAATCGTTTGTGGGCCCAAAACAAAAAAAGTTTTCAAAAAAATATCATATCATCGTATTAAAAGTTTTTGGGGTCGCTGAATACAAATTTAAGGTCTGATTTAAAAAATTCAAAATGTCGGACCCAAAATGGTGGAAAAAATTTAAAGTTGATTCGATTCGTTCAAAATTTGGTACTTGGGGGTTTTAGGGGTCGCTGAATCTAAATTTGATGTCAGATTTTAAAAATTCAAAATGGCAGACCCAATATTATTAATTGTTTTTTAATTTAAAAAACAAAATACTGTTACTAACTTCTTGAAGGTAATTCTTTTCGGTGCAATTTAAAAATATAAATGTATATGAAAAAAAAATTATCGAAACATGACCTAAATATTATTTAACTTTATATATATATATATTCTATTAATAATAAAATGTAATAAAAAATGAAAGAGAATATTTTTTGATAGCAAATGATACAAAATATTGTACATAAAAATTTATTAATAAACGAAAAAAAAAGAAAAAAATATTTTAAAATAAATTTTTGTATACTCTCTGCTTCAGTTTTCAATTAAAACAAATTTAAATCTCGAGTAAATTTATATGCATATATTCAGTAAAGAAACAATTTGATTTTAGAATATTGCACTGATTGAAATCGATAAATTGCACTTGTTATATGCAATTCGTGGAAAGAAATATTTATTGATGTAAAAAGTATATATATATATACAATACTAAAACTATATTTGTTTAAAAAAAATAATCATTATATTATTTTACGCTTTTATGAGTTTTCATTTTAAAAAAGAAAGAAGAAGTAATTTGCAGTATATCTGAATAAAAAATCAAACATTTCATTATAAAAATAAAATATAAAATTTTTTATTATAATTTTTTAACAATAGAATTTTTTAATTATTCCATTTTATTGCGAAATTGACAAAATACGAAATAAAAAAAAAATTAAATTATAAACGTATATATCAATAAATTAAATATAATAAGCAATGTAATAAAATTTTGAAAAAAAAAAGTTTACTCAATTTTCCAAGTTTTAAAAGTACATTATTTATTCTGCAATAGAATTTTATGCACTATATAACTGGCACTAAACATTGTGTGTTTTATAAAAAAGTACAATATATATACTTTTATATTGAAAATTGTTTCTCCGTGCGGCTTTTATATAAGGCAGGAAACGGATTAATGAAGTTACACAGCATATGTATAAGTTCCATTCAATTGCGATTACAAAAATCTTTTCTCTCTCAATTTTGCGCACACGACAAAAATATTGTTTAAAAACTATTCTTTTTTTTTTTAATAAAATTAACTTTTATTTATATTATTTATTTTATATCTCTCTATATTATAAAAAAAATTCGCCGCTGTCTCCAGTATGGGTCATTCCATCGCAAGTGTACCCAACCCATGTTATTTACAAGGTTAGGTTAGGTTAGGTTAGGTTAGGTTAGGTTAGGTTAGGTTAGGTTAAGAATGGCTCAAGTGTAACCAACCATTGTACTAACCATGTCAAAAACATGGGTTGGTTACACTTGATATGGAATGAACCACATATATACCTATATTAGTATTTTGGTTCTGATTTTAACCTCAAACCCACAGGTGAATTGATATGGTACGCGACCCATATATATCTCCACCTATATTAGTATTAAAATGAACATAACCTCAAAATTCAAGATCCTATAGGCCTCCAGGATTCAAGGTCATGGATCAAACATAACCTTAAAATTCAAGGGCATAGGGTTCCAGGATTCAAGGTCAGAGATCAAACATAACCTGCAAATTCCAGACCATAGGTTTCCAAAATTCAAAGCCTTAGTTCAAACATAACCTCAAAATTCAAGGACATAGGTCAAGGGACCGTTGGGTTTGAGGCTATGTCCAAAAAACATAACTTCAAATTCCCCTAACCAAGAAACGAACATAACCTCAAAATTTATATAAAATTTTAATAATTTTAATACTTTGCAAGCCTTTAAAAAATTAATCATTAATATTGGAAAATAATTGGGGTTGGCGCGCGCGAAATTTATTAAATATAATAAACAAAGAAAATAATAACAATAGTGAAAAAAAAAATGTGTAATAAAAAACAAAATTTATTTTCAATTGGGGGGAAAAGGTGTGTTTTTTTTCCGCAACTAAAGATTGAATCTGATCATTTAATACTTTCACTGCATGTACATTGGGTTATATAGAGATTGAAAACAATCGAACAAATTGCAAGGAAGAGATTTATTGGTCATTTGATTCATCTGCCGATTTTATCATTAAACCATTTTTCACGTAAATTCATTATACAGAGGTAAAAAAAAAAAAAGTCGATAGATCGTTTTGTCCGCAGAGTGCAATGTTTAATTTCATAGTTTTCCAAGCTCGATTTTGCATATACATATATATACGTATAGGTATATAAAGCACACCGAGGAGATGAAGGAGAATTATAAAATGGAACGTACTCTGGGGTCCCTTTAATTTTCTCAATTATTTTCATTTAAGCTACTATAACGCTCGCTATTTAATCTAATGTGATGTATAACCCCGCACATATATACAGTAAAAATTCAAATCCAAATTATTTGTATTTTTTTTTTATATTAATTTTTATTACTGTGGCTCATAATTTCTCCAACGAAGCATCAATAAAATTAAACAAATTTAATTTTCAATGTTAAATGGTTTTTTTTTTACTCCTACACTGAAAAAACGATTAAATTGATTCAAATAATACTTGACTATTATCAAATAAATATTTACTTGACTTAAATAATAATTATTTGATACAAATAAATATTTATTTGATAATAGTCAATTAACACATTATTTGAATCAAATATTTTTTTTCAGTGTACTTTAAAATCAATATAAGTTACTGAAAATATTAAATAAAAAAAAAGTGTTAAAATTATAAACTGATCAATTTAAAAACAAAAATAGTGTTTTTGATGTAAAATTTAAAAATTCTTTAAAATTACAATTTTTAATAACTTTACCAAAAAAAAGTTTTTTGGGCTAATATTTTCAGAAACTTATTTTTTTTTTATTTAATTACATAAAATAAAAGAAATAAATGTGATATGTGTTTTATTAAAATTTTTATCAAATATTTAATTTTTTCCAGCAATTTGAACATACAAATAAATTATACTTCATTATAGAAATGGAAATTAGAAAATATTTTATCATTGATAAGATATCAATTTTTTCAGTTGTGTATACAAACTAAATAATTGAAGCAATAAATAGTTTCAAATTATTACAATTGTATTTATATTACTCTAAAACGGTTTTGTTTTAAAGCTTCTTAAATAAAAGTAATTTTATTACGTTTAAAAATAAAACGAAGTAAGTAAATGTTTTTTATGTAAAAAAAATCATTAAGAAATTACATTAAAATTGAAATTAGTTTTAAGGGTATGTGGGCAAAGGATGTTTTTTTGTGGTTTGAAATTTTCTCTGAAATAAAAAATGATTTTGGTTTAAAATTTTGGAGAAATGATTTAGTTTGGTACAAGGAATCTCGCTGTTCTACTCATTTACAACAACTTAATGCAAAAATAATAAAAATAAAGCAATAAATAGTAAAATAATGTTTTTTATCATAGTTCATTCATTTTAGACAAAAATCTTTTCTCGTTTTAGAGTAAGATGTATTCTACCAAAACACATTTTCCCACACTAGGTCACGTGGGAGATTCCCACATACCCTTAATTAAGTTAAAAACCAAAGAAGTAATATTCACACAATTATATAATAATAAAATGCTTGTTCTGTCCTTCTGTCCTAACTTGATGTTGGCCTTTTCTGATTTCACGTGTTTTTTTGAATAGTAATCTTATGACGTGTCAAATTTTGACAATTCTTTTTCTCATTTTTGCCAAAGTTGTATAATTGTGTTTCCAAATTTCGGAATAAGTTTCTTTAAAATTCCAAATTCGAAAATTCGTTTACCAACGAAACTTTTTTTAAAGTTGTATATTGATTCAAAAATTGTATACAAATACAAAAAATTTATGATGAGAAAAAAGATGCGCCAGGAAATTTCGTAAAAGATAGTAATTTGAAAAAAATTTATTTTTAAAAATTAATTTTTAAGGTACAAGGGGCCAACAAATACCTATTAAATATTAATTATAAAAACACAGGCCTCGAATCAACTTAAAGACACAAAAAGTCGTTTTAGTCGATTTATATTCCAAAAAAAAGTGGATTTGTTTTTTATTTTAACAAAAATATTTTACAGATTTTTAAATAAAAATTTTTTGTTTAATAATAATCCTTTTCTAAGGGTTAAAATTGAAATTTTTAGAAATAATTAAATTGCAAAAGATATTGTTAATATTCAAACAATTATTAAGTTTTACAGAACTAAAAATAATTTATCAAACAATTTTTGGAAAACATTTTTTAAATTTAATTGAATTTTCAAAGATTTAAAATTGAGATTTTTGAAATTAATTGAAACTTTAAGTGTTTTGTAATTAAAATTTTAGATGATTTCACTAAAAATTTATTAGAAAATGCGGACAAAATACAATAATTTGAAAATCATTTTTAATTGAAAAATGGTTATAGATAGTTAAATTTTCAAAGAATATTATTAAAATAGTTAAAAATAATTGAATTTCCTTAGAGTTATAAATGAAATTATTAAATTTAAAAAAAAAAATTTCGATGTAAAATTTTAGAAATAATTAAATTTTAGATGCTTTTAAATTCAAATTATTGAAAATTCAATTAATTTTGAATTCAAATTTTTGAGAATAATGAAATTTTATTTGATTTTAAATTTGGAAAACAATTGAATTTCAGTTCATTTTGAATTGAAAATTTTGGGAAATATGTAATTGAATTTTAATTGAAATTTTGGATAATAATTTAATTGAAGTTCATTTTTGATTGAAAATTTGGATAATTAATTTTGAATAGAAATTTTAGAAAATAATTGAATTTTATTACATTTCAAATTGAAAACTTGGTAAATAATTAAATTTTAAATTGAAAATTTTTGATAATTATTGAATTTTTAATTGATTTTGAATTAAAATTTCGGGTAATAATTTAATTTTAGTTTATTTTGAATTGAAATTTTTGAAGAATAATTCAATTTTATTGTGATATTTTTTTAAAATTATAAACAATTGTTAAATTTCATAAAAATTTTAATTGAAAAAATAATTTTGATATAATTGAATTTGTGATGTATTGCATTAAAATTATTAAAAATAATTAATTTAGTGAAGAATCATTTTAGTTCAAAATTTGTTAAATAATTGAATTGAAGAAGATCTGAAGAAGATCTACATTTTATACTAAAAAATGCATTTTATTTACATTTTTTCAAATGTAAAAAAAAATGTCGCATTTTATTAAAATAAGTCGATAAAAGTCGTATTTTTGAAAAAAGTCGGAAAAAGTCGTATAATCCGAGGCCTGTAAACATATAATTTTCATTATTATCATTTAATATGTAATAATATTCTAATAAATTAAATTATTATTGATAATATTAATCTTTAATTTCTTTAGAACAAACAAGTAAATACTCAATTTGGCGCGCTTGCGCGCGTTTAATTTTGCTGGTTTAAATAATAATTTTCTCGAAATTCAACGAATTGATGTCACTTTTTTCCTTCTATTATTTTCAGCTGTATATAATATATAAAAGTAAAATATAAGCATACAGAAATCAATAAAATACAATGAAGAATTTTTTGAGATTGATCTCATTTTTTCTGATAGTAAAAATTATTACATCATACAATTGTTTTGAAAATAATATAAATTATTGCACTTGTAATGATCTTGATAATGGAATAATTCAATATTCATGTATTGATCCAATGGAAATGAAAAATTCCATCAATTTACGACACTTTGAAATTTCAATTGGAACTTTTGAAACAACAATAAAATGCATAAATTCAGCAAGTTTAGAAAATTTTCATTATGACTTTCGTTTTTTAAAAACTGATTTAACAACAATTGTTCTAGACAATTGTAATATTAATAGAAAAACAGATATATCGAAAATTAAAGAACTAACTGCCACTGAGTATGTGAGCAAGATTAATTTAGTTAATAATTCTCAACTAAATAATATTCTCATTCAAAATCCATCTTATGAATTATATTCACTGCTTCGATTAAATATTATGGATGATAATAATTTAAAATTAGTAAATATCAAACTATTTCACAATGTTCCTAATATTTATTATCTTACAATAAAAAGATGTTTTGTTCAAACAATTACACCAAATGCATTTATTAATTTAAAACAATTAATAAAATTGAATTTATCGCAAAATAAATTGAAAAATATTCCATCGGAAATATTCAATAGTTTACATGAACTAACTGATCTTGATCTCAGTGGAAATCAACTTGAAATACTTGATGATAAAATTTTTCAAAATTTACAAGTTCTGAAGAATTTGAATCTTGAAAAAAATAAACTCACAACAATATCAGAGTAATTTTTATATTATTTTCTTTTATGAAAATTAGTTTTAATATTATTATATCATGAAATTAAGAATTTAAATTGCCAATTGTATTTATACAGTATATAATTTAATTTCAAGTTCAATTTTTTTTTTTAATTTACATATATTTATATCATTTTTGTACAATTTATTATAATTTATACATATTCACAAAAAAAAGTTGTCTGAATTAGAAATTATAATTTTTCTACGTATTTTGAAACTAATATGATGTTTAAAAATTTTGTAATGAGTAGATTTTTTAAAGACTCGTTAAAAAAAATTGTGTCTTTCACCCAAAAAAAGGCTAATTTACTTTTTTATTTTCATTTTTTTTTTCAGATGAATTTCCATTTATTCGAATTATTTGATATAATTTCCATATAACCGATACTGCAGAATTTTTAATTAACAGAAAAATCCTTTAACAGAATTTCTAATTTATAGAATTTTTATTTGTCCGAAATTGCAAATGACAGAACAAACAATCGACAAAAAGAGTTCGGCGCGATTTTTAAAATCAACCAATCACAATTTTATGGTTAATTTTTGATTGGTTGATTTTAAAAATCGCGCCGAAATCTTTCTGTCGATTGTTTGTTTGGCCATTTGTAATTTCGGACAAATGAAAGTTCTATCAATTAGAAATTCTGTTAAATGATTTTTCGGTTAAGTAAAAATTCTGCAGTAATAAAAAATCGGTTATATGGAAATTATATGAAATAATAATTCGAACAAATAAAAATTCATCTGAAAGAATAAAATGAAAATTCTATGCAATGAAATTCTACCCAATAAAAATTCTTTAAAATGCCTATTATGTTAAATGAAAATTCGAGCAAATAAAAATTCTGACAAATAAAAATTCGAACAAATGAAAATTCTGTGAAGTGAATTTTTAATTATATAAAAATTCTGTAATATAGAAAATCGTTTTGATGAAAATTCTGCAAAATACTAATTCGAACAAATAAAAATTCGGGTCAAAAATAATTATGACAAATGAAATTCTATAAAATGAAAGTTCTAACTAATTATTTTTAGAACATATTCAAGCGTCCCGATAACTTGACGTGAAATCCCCCAAATATAAAGAAAAAGTGTAGTGTGGTTTCTGGTTACAACAACTTTTTTTTGTTATGTTTTACTATACGTAAAATATGGATATTAATTTTCGAAACTATGTTAACATTAATTTAAAAACAAAATTTTATTATTTTGCAACAGAAATTCTTAATTTTATTTTTGCCTAAATATTTTTTATAAATGCTGAGGTAAATAAGGTATTACACAACACATCAGACACTATTTTGCATTTACATCTTTGATTTTATTAAAACTTTTTTTTCTATTAGTACTAATTGAATTTGCTTTCATGATATTTTTCAATGTTTTTTATCAAACTGTTTACGAGATATGAATTTTTTAATTTTTCAAAATTTCGTAGAATTTTAATGATCTTATATTTTTGAATAATCATAAAATTTCCTTAAAAATGCAACAATTTAAGTTTTTTTAAATTGTCTGTAGTTACGTGAACTTTTCAAAAATTCGATACGAAAAATTCTAGAAAATTAATTTACTATATTTTTTGCAATTGAAAAATAAAAATTTTATTTTTAAAACTGTTTGTATCCTTCAATGTATTTTTAAACTTTTTTTAAAAAACTACTTCCTTTTACAAAAATTCGAAGCCTGGTCCGGTCATGGGGAAACAATTTTTTAAAAATTTCGAAATATTGAATTTTTAAAAAATACTTCCAGTTTTTTTAGACTATACGTACATTTATGTATTTTAATGCGCTGATTACGTATTTTTACTACGATTTTCGTAATCAACAAAATACATAAATGTACGTATAGTATAAAAAAACCGAAAATATTTTAAAAAATTTTTTTAAATTGTTTCACTACGACCGGATCAGACTTAAAATATTTGTAAGAGGGAGTAGTTTTTTTTTGAAAATTAAAAAAAAATCGAACTGTTTTTAAAATAAAATTTTTAATCTTTAAATTGCAAAAAATATAGGTAGTAAATTATTTATCTCGAATTTTTCGCAACGAATTTTTGAAAAGTGCACATAAAAACACAATTAAATGAAAAAAATTTTAAAATTAATATCATTAAAATTCTGAAATTTTGAAAAAATGGATCTGAAGAAGATCTGCATTGTATACCTACTAAAAAAAAGATATATTTTGTTTAAAAATTTTGTAAAAAAAAAGTCGAAAAAGTTGCATCTTATTTAACCTTTATGGGACTGACGAGGTACCCGTGTACCTTTTGCATTTTCAAATTGATTTTTTTCATAATTTTTAAAATCGTATTGACCTAAAGTTTTTTTAACATCTCAAATTTATCAATACAAAGTGTTTTAATATTATTTATAATGTACCTTTTTTATTTATTTATTCGGAAATAATAAACAAAGTTTCTTCACCCTTAGAAGGCGGACAAGGTACCCGGTTACCTCTGTACATTTTATGCAGATAAATGTAGAAATTTCTAAGGAGGTTCATCCCAAAATCGATTTTCTACAGATTTTTAAAAAATTTTTAAGATGTATTATTGACATCACTTTACATGTGTTGTTCAAATTTTATTAAATTTTACCGTATCATTTTCAAGATAAAAATTGATAAAGTTTGAAGTTTTACATGGGAACAGTGAAAAAACATGAAAAATGACCATGTTTTCATTAATTAAAAAAAAACGGTTCTACAGATTTTTTTCAAAAACTAATATGTTTTAAATTATGAGTTTTAACAGTTTTTACAAAAATATGAAATTTTTTTACCGTTTGGTTGTGAAGTAAATGTTAATCAAAGTTAGCAACTTTTGAACTTATCCCATATAAATAAAAGAAAGAAGAGGAGAAACGGCAAATTAACCTCTAAATTGGCCAGTGGAGCTCAACTTTTATGGACTATAGCTGTCGGTTTTAAACTTACGGAAAACCCCTAATAGAATGAGTACCGCTTGAAGGGATGAACCTCCTTAAAAAATTTTGAAAAATTACATTAAACAATTTTTATTAATTTTTATAGTAATGCACATAATTTTTTTTTATAAAATATGTAATTTATTTACTATAGTTAAATAATAATATTCATATAAGAAATCGTCAGCTTTTAACTTCAAAATTACCATAAAAATGAAGTCTGAATAGAATTAATTTGTATTAAAAATGTATTTTAAATGATAAAAAATAAATTTCATAAATTTTTATATTTGATTTCATAAATAATCCACCTAAATATGTACCTGTTATATGTACCTATTATATAGGTACACGGATACTATTCAATGAAAGATCAATGAAATTGTGAATCAACTAATAATGATAATTTTTTATTAGCAATGTTTTTTCCTCAGTTCCATAAAGGTTTAATAAGTTGAAAAAAGTTGTATTTTCGAAAAAAGTCGTAAGTACAATCCGAGGACAGTTAAATGAAAAGAAAGTTTCAAAAAAAAATCAGAGTTGTAAATACAAAATGGTGTCTGATTCGGCGTGGAATACCTCATATATTAATACGAAGTTGAAGTACGCGCAACGTTTATGATAAACGATTTTTAAAGAAATAAATTTTAAAAATGAAAAATTCTATAATTTTTTGCCTAAAAAATATTTTTTTATAATTTATTGATTAATGAAAACTACAAGAAATATTTTTTAGGCAAAAAATTATAGAATTTTTCATTTTTAAAATTTATTTCTTTAAAAATTGTTTATCATAAACGTTGCATACTTCAGTTTCATTGTATTAATAATAAAATTGTATTTCATTTAGATTTTTGTTAGACAAACTATACAGTTTGGAAGAATTTAATGCAGCTGAAAATTTAATATCCACAATTCATAAAAATGCATTTATAAAATTGTTAAAATTAGAACGAATAAATCTAAGAAAAAATAATATTACCGATCTAACAAGCATGAATGAAAAAACAATGACAAATATAGCTGTATTTTGGAATAACTATTCAGTATTTACTTTATGTCATAATTTAAAAGAACTGGATCTTTCCTACAATAATATTCAACAATTTTATGACGATTGGATTGAATTAACCGAATTGAAATTGAATTCTTTAAAACTTTCTCACAATCAGATACCTTTTTTTAAAGTAAGTTGCTGAACAATAATTTTAATTTCAAATATCGAATTGTTATAAAAGATGTATATCGTTTCTATAAGATAACACACTAATCTAAACTTTGAAATTTCATTTATTAATAATAAATTTCTTTTACAGTTATCCGAAAAAAATTTGAATATGAAATCAGATTTTCACATCAACTTGACCAGTAACATGATAAAAGGAATTAATTTATTTTCCCTATCATCATTAGAATTTAAAACACCATTTAAAATGTATATAGACGCAAGAGATAATCCAATTATTTGCGATTGTTTAAATGACAAACTATTACAGTACATAAAGGGCAATATTGAAAGTAAAATCTATGAACATTTAAATATTGATACAACAAATTTAATATGCAATGGACCAGAAGAACATGAGGGAAAAATGTTGTCTGCTCTAAGCATGCATGATTTATCGTGTGAAGTAAATGTAAAAATTGACAATATAAAAGAATCATGTACTCCAAAGTATTATATTGAAAAAATGCTAACAATAATTAATTGTGCTAATAATGATTATTCATTGGTTCCGGAACATCTTGGAATTATAGTTAGTTTCAGTAATGAAATTAATTTAGAAAATAATAATTTCGAATATATTCCAGAATTTAGTATTGCCGAACAAAAATCAATTACAAAATTAAATCTTTCTGGAAATAAAATTAAAGGAATCTCTGGTATTGAATTGTTTGAAAATCTTCAGGTAATATTTGTTTTGTAAAATTGTGAAAAATCTACAATATATATAGAGTAATGTCTTCTTTTTCTTGCAGGTTTTAGAACTCAAGAATAATGAAATAAGTAACTTAAGAAATAATGATATATGGATTTTTAAGAGTTTAAAAAATCTCAAACACATTACTCTGAGTGGTAATCCTTTCATTTGTGATTCAAATTTTAATGTACTTAAAAATTATATCAAAATTGAGGATAGAAATAATTTAACTTGTCATGATGAACCACTAAAAACAATTGAGGAAGGAAAACAAATAATTTATTCTGAATATGCAAAACTTTCGTTATGTCATCAAGATAGAGAAGAGGTTGAGCAAATTTGGGAAAATACTTGTTCAATCAAGGCAAAAAATAAAGTGCTATAAATTATGTTATCACACTTTTAAATATATCAATTTTCTATTTTCGGTATTTTTATCATATTCAAATTAGGTAATAATTGACACACATCGACCAAATCAATATATTATCTACTTTAAAAGTGGCAAAAAATATCGAAAACAGAAAAGTGCTATCACTGTAAAAAAATCTTTATGACAATCATCGAGAAAATCGAGCTATAAAATAAAAATTTTCATTAGACAGAATTTCATTATGTAGAATTTATTTTTAGCCGAATTTTTATTTCTTTGAATTATTATTTAAGGTTATATGGGAACCTCCCACGTGACCTAGTATAGGAAAATGTGTTTTCGTAATATACATCTTACTCTAAAACGAGAAAATATTTTTGTCTAAAATTTTGAGGGATGATAGATTTGGGTACAAGGAATCTCGCTGTTCTCCGAATAGTACATAATTTTGCGTTAAATTATTAAAAAATGAAGTTTAAAAAATGGCATTTTCAAACAAAAATGAAAAGAAACATGGCGGCGCATACACAGACGTTGCTTGAGTGTGTCAGTGCTCCAGTAAACAGCGCCAATTCGAGCGAGTGGCCGCCGAATGAACTATGATAAAACACATTATTCTACTATTTATTGCTTTATTTTTATTATTTTTGCGTTAAGTTATGGTAAATGAGTAGAACAGCGAGATTCCTTGTACCAAACTAAATCATTTCTCCTAAATTTTAAACCGAAATCATTTTTTATTTCAGAGAAAGTTTCAAACCACAAAAAAACGTCCTTTGCCCACATACCCTTAACAAATTTTAACTCAAAATAATTTTTTCCAAAATTGTACAATTGGATCTGTCGAATTTGGGTGTAATAAATTTTAAATATATTTTTAGTTCTGTTAAAAACTACTTTTTAGTTTGAGATTATGTTAATGGGTTGAACATCCTTAAAGAAAAAATATTTATAAAAAATTTTTTTCCATCTAAAATTTTTATTTAGAGGCCATTCAAGTATTACGTAAGCATATTTTCAAGGATTTTGAACCCACTCCTCCCCCCAAATAAGCATATTGTAATGGAAAAAATAAGAATTTTATATGGTGCGTAAGCAACTGAGGAACCTCCCCCCCTCCCCCTTAGATGCTTACGTAATATTTGAATGACCTCTTACTCGAATTTATATTTTACAGAATTCTTAATTTTAAAATTTTTATTTTACAGAATTTTCACTTGATCGAATAAATTTTAGAAAGAAAAACTAAAAAACCAAATTTTTATGCCAGATATTTATGCGGACAAATAAAAAGTTCTGTAAATAGAAAAATTCTGCGTTTTAATAATTCTGTAAAATATAAATTCGAACAAATGAAAATTCGGATAGAAAAAAATTCTTTTTTAATATTTTTTCTTTAAAATAAAAATTTTTTTAAATGACCATTCTGTCTAATGAAAATTCAAGCAAATAATAATTCTGTCAAATTGGATTTTGATAAAACATAAATAGTTTGTTAAATGAAAATTCGTTTAAGAAACAATTTTGTAATATAGAAATTTGGTTAAAACATAATTCGATGAAATGAAAATTCTACTGAAAGTAAATTCGAGGTAATGAAATTCTTTTAAATGTATTTTCTAAAAAATTTTAGAATTTATTCAAATTAAAAAATGATTTTTAACTATATGTTTATGACACAAAATAAAATATAATAAAAATTAATTTTAATCAATTTTGTAATAGGGTCAGTTGGGGTAAATGGGGACAAAATCGCTTTTTTTTTTACAAATTACGTAAGTTTCTTCCTTTAAAATATATAATATTTGCGGGTTTATATTTTTTTAAGTTGTTATTTACATTCCAAGGATTAATTTTATGCAGCAGAAAAAATTTAGATAAGCTTTAAACGCATGAAACTGACTGTCCCCATTTAATTTCAATTTCAATTTCATTTATTAACGGGACATGCCCTTTCGTACAAAAGTACTCCTAAATTCTAAAAGTTACGTCAGTAACAATACAAAATATAAAATATTAACTAAATCTAGGTAGGCGCTATAATGGTTAAAGTTCAGTATAAGTTTATACAGTAAAGAATAACATAAATCTAATTACATTATTATCAAAGGAGAAGATTAATTTTTGATAAATTGAATCTGCTTTACCATTATATCAATTAATTTCAAAAATAATTGTTATTGTTCAATAATACTGATTTTCTATAAATCACAATGTCTACATTTAGTTCTGTATGTATTTCCTTAAATCATTTTCATAGATAGAAATAAAGTAAGTTTATTTCAAGGAAGGGACACAACCTTGGGCACCAAGTGGGGAAATCACTACAGATTCTCCTTACAAAAATTTAGAAAATTTCATAAAATTTGGGGTAAATGGAGACAGCATAGTTTCTAAGGAAGTTTTAAGAAAAAAGTTTCCTTAAGTATATTACTCTATTAAGGGATGAAAAAACTTAAAAAAAAATTTGTAGCAGATATATAATAGTTGAACCAATTGAAATTTTTTTTATTTTTTTTTTATTTCAGTATTTTGTCTCGCATTTGAAAAAGACAGACTTAAAAATCATACCAATTTTTTTTCTTATTCCTTATGACTTCTATAACAGAAATTCACTTGAATTTTTGATTTTTGTCAATTTGGTTAATAATAACAAGCTGTCCCCATTTACCCCAAAAATTTGAAAACTCAGGGTAAATGGGGACAGCTTGTCATTATTAACCAAATTGACAAAAATCAAAAATTCAAGTGAATTTCTGTTATAGAAGTCATAAGGAATAAGAAAAAAAATTGGTATGATTTTTAAGTCTGTTTTCTTTGAAATGCGAGACAAAATACTGAAACAGTTTGACTTTAATTTTCAAGTTTTTATACATTGAGCGATAACTTTTTTTATCTTGCTGCCAATTGTCAAGATAAAAGCTTGACTATATATAATTATATACACTTTTTTTAAAAAAAATTAATGTTGACTAAAAATCATGCGTGGAAAAATTATTTTTTTAATTTTAAAAATTTTCCTTTCAGTTTAAACAAACATCGCAAATTTTATAGACAATAGCTCAGTTTTTACTCCTTGAAATATTCTTGACAATCGTAATTTTTCCAATGTTGTTATAAATATATTTCTTCAGAAATCATAAACAAATCAAATTGTTTATATTAAATGATTTTTTAATAAAATTGAAAAAATTACAATTGTATTTTCTAATATTTCTGTTTTCAATAAAAACTATTTTTTAGTTTGAAGTTATGTTATGTTATTAAGTTCACCGCATTCTCTCCTTAAGGGTATGTGGGCAAAGGACGTTTTTTTGTGGTTTGAATCTTTCTCTGAAATAAAAAATGATTTCGGTTTAAAATTTTGGAGAAATGATTTAATTTAGTACAAGGAATCTCGCTGTTCTACTCATTTACCATAACTTAACGCAAAAATAATAAAAATAAAGCAATAAATAGTAAAATAATGTGTTTTATCATAGTTCATTCAGCGACCACTCGCTCGAATTGGCGCTGTTTACTGAAGCACTGACACACTCAAGCAACGTTTGTGTATGCGCCGCCATTTTTCTTTTTATTTTCGTTTAAAAATGACACTTTTTAAACTTCATTTTTTAATAATTTAACGCAAAATTATGTACTATTCGGGGAACAGCGAGATTCCTTGTATCCAAATCTATCTTCCCTAAAAATTTTAGACAAAAATATTTTCTCGTTTTAGAGTAAAATGTATACTACGAAAACACATTTTCCTATTCTGGGTCACGTGGGAGGTTCCCACATACCCTTAAGAAACAATTTTGTAATATAGAAAGAACCCCGCACAAAATGTACAGAAAATAGATCCCTGTCGATTTTGATTAAACTTTGGGAAATTGTTGCTTTTGTAGTACCAAAGAAAAAAGTCTTATGATAAAATCCAAAAAAATGAACAGATTTTTTGTTAATTAATGTTTAAGTTGACAATTCACAGTGTAAAAGTCGGTGATGCTTACAAGTGAACAAAACGAAAATAATTAAATTAAAATGCTTGATACTTGTTGCACGGGAGTTTTCGGAGTCGCTGATAACTAATGTACAGTCAATTGTCAACTTAAACATTAATTAACAAAAAATCTGTCCATTTTTTGGATTTTATCATAAGACTTTTTTCTTTGGTACTACAAAAGCAACAATTTCCCAAAGTTTAATCAAAATCGACAGGGATCTATTTTCTGTACATTTTGTGCGGGGTTCTTTGGTTAAAACATAATTCGAAGAAATGAAAATTCTCCTGAAAGTAAATTCGAGTTAATGAAATTCTGTTAAATGTATTTTCTAACAAATTTTAGAATTTATTGATATTAAAAAATGATTTTTAACTATATATTTATAACACAAAATAAAATATAATAAAAATTAATTTTAATCAATTTTGTAATATATATAATTAAATACACTTTTTTTTAAAAAAAAATTGATGACTAAAAATCATGAGTCAAAAAATTATTTTTTTAATTTTAAAAATTTTCCTTTCAGTTTAAACAAAAATCGCAAATTTTATAGACAATAGCTCAGTTTTTACTCCTTGAAATATTCTTGACAATTGTAATTTTTTCAATGTTGTTATAAATATATATTTCTTCAGAAATTGTAAACAAATCAAATTGTTTATATTAAATGATTTTTTAATAACATTGAAAAAATTACGATTGTATTTTCTAATGTTTCTGTTTTCAATAAAAACCATTTTTCAGTTTGAGGTTATGTTATTAAGGTCACCGCGCATTCTCTCCTTAAGGCCAGGTTCAAGTCATGTCAGCTGTTCCATTGAAACTTCAAAGGAATAGCTGACTCGACTTGGACCTGGCCTTAAGTAACAAAATTCTGTAATATAAAAATTCGATTAAATGGACAATAATAATTCGAAGAAATAAAAATTCGGTCAAAAGTAAATTCGAGGTATATACTACTTGTTTGAACTTTATATTATAAATAATTTAATTGTGTTAAAAAATAAGAGAAAAATTGATGGGAAATAATATATTGTTAAACTTAAAACACGTGCGTACAATGAAGAAATAAATTTACCTTATTTTTTTATCCAATAGTAAGTAAATTTTACTCGAATTATCCATGTATGATTCGTATTTTTATAAAAAAAATCTGTTGAATTGTATTTTTTTTAATACTTTCAAACAATAAGGTAATATTTTTCAATTATTTCCTAGTTATTTGAATAAGTGTAAAAAATATCGATATATATATAATGGAAAAGTGCTATATTTAAATTAATAATGATATTTATTATAATAAAAAAAAATAAGAAAAATTTAAATATATTATTGAATATTATAATTTTACAGCGACTTTGACACAATAAACCGTTTATATGAATAAATACCATAAAGATTTTTTACAGTAATTATATATTTAAAGTGCGAACATAACCTTATTCAATATATATTATATATGCAATTTTACGAATTTCGATACAAATATAAATCATATGTGGATAATTTTCATCGAAAGATTTTTTATAGTATACATAATAATCATAATAATAGATTTACTAACCTCAAAAAATAGTATACTAACCTTTTTCAAGAATAACATGTTTTTTATTACTTATTTTGCTTCAAGTTTAATTTTATTATGAAATCCGCTTCAAAATATTTATACACTTTTAATTTTTGTTATTCGTAATTGTAATTAAATCAACTATTATTGTTTGATGATGATCACTCTACTTTTCTTCTTCTTCTTCAACAATACACAATCACTATATACTTTCTACGACGTTATCGGCCGAGTGCCCACATCCCTCTTTCTTCGATATAGAGGGTCGAAGCGCATTGGTGTTGATTACTCGAACTATTTATATTACCGCGAAAATTGATATTTTTATATTGATTATTGATATATTTTCAAATAATCCTATCCTATAAACTTCAAAATTTCTCTCTCATTAAATAATTATTTTTTTATCGTACAAATAATGTTGTAGTGAATAAAAAAAAATTATAATAATATTCCTTTTAAAGTAGATTGTAAATAAATAAAATTTAAAAAAATTGCTATATTAAATATCTATTATAAAATAAAAAAATTGATATTTAAATTTAAAATATATTATGAATTTAATATTTTATTGGACAATTATTTTTACGACATTTACACACAGGTTGTTTATATATGAAAATTGAACGGTAAAAAAAAATTTTTTTTATATTTCATCACAAAATATTTCTCAAACGAATATTATATTTAAATATTTATGTAATATTAATTTTATAGGTAGGTAAAAAATGCACTCATTATTATCACTGAGTGTAAATTTAAATTTTAAATTATAAATTATAACTCTTATAATTATACCCCCTAATACGTCAAGCACGACATGCCTTATAAATTACCGACTTACAAATTAGTCATGAGTAATTAAATATACTAAAATAAATCAAAAATCTGCAATTTCCATTGAGGAGACCTTGAATTTAAAGTGTGAGCTTTAATTTCACCTTCTTTTTTTTTATATTATTAGAATTTATTTCCATGAACATTTTTATGTTCGCAATTTCAAGAAGAAAAAAAAACAACTAAACTTTATAATAAAAATATTTTTTCTGCACTGGAAAATTTATATAAAAAAAATTATTATTGTTAAAATAATGATTCAAGGATTCGGAAAAATATACAATATTTAATAAATCACGTTTTAAAAAAAATTTAACTTTTAATAATTATCTAATTAAAAATCATAAAAAAAATTAATAATAAATGCAATTTTCAAACAATAGTAATTTGATTTAAAATAAATTAGTAATTCTTAAATTAATTAATAAATTAGTAATAATAATAATAATGATAAAAGAATGGCTTAATAGCTCCCTGAAATAAATAAATTACGAATTTTAATTATTTAACTAAAAAACAATTAATGTCTTTAGTGTAATTTAATCACATGGACAAAACAAATAGAGTTAAACTCAATATAGTAACTAAGAGATTTTCTCAAAATCGTATATCAACTTTCCCCAGCTTCACTCTCTAATGAAAAGTTAGAAATAGTATAACAACTTTTCATAAAAATAGTTTAACAGAGGTTCCAACTTTTAACTACGTGAAGGGTAGTATTTGCTTTTAAACATTAATGAAACAAATTTTTCTAGATACATAAACAAAAAATTATAAAATTAAGGTTGCTAATAAATTAAATATAGTGTAAATTCTTTTAAATTTTAAATTAAAAAAAAAAATTATAAATTTTCTATATTAATAATTATAAAATCAAAAGGCCTAGAACTGTTCTTCCTTTTCATTTTATAATATTATTAATACAAAAAATAGTATTAAAAAGGAAATATTTAATAAGTAACTTAATAAATAATATATAAAATTATAATATTTTTAATAAAATAAAAAAAAGAACTATAAGAACTTTGAAAAATAGCCTATAATTACATCGTAAATAAAAAAACAAAGACATATTTACATGTTCATATCGGACTTTTATTTATGGAATAAATCTTCACTAATTCATTCTCAAAGAAAAATAAAATTTTAACATGCGTTGCGTTCGAAAATGTATATGTGCCAACAGAAAATTTTCAACATGAAAAAGAAGTTCTTTTTGTTTTGTTTTTTTTTTCACTGAATATAATATAAATGTGCACTCAATCATTTTTACCCAAAAAAAAAATTATTAAATCTACTATTGTTGGCTACAAAAAATAATGGCCAATTTACCAGAATTATTTTTTTTTTTTACAAGACTATTTTTTTCCAATGGTTTATCATTCTTACATTGAGCGTTACAAAAAAATTTTTATCACTCAATTAAAAAAAAAAAAAAATTTAAAATTTACGCAACATTTGTTTTATTATTCTATTTTTTTGTTTCAAAATTTTGTGGAAAAAAAAATTTTTTTTTTTAATAAAGCATTGCGAAATTTCATTGTCAAATCAATTGATTTTATTATCGATTTCAAAATTTAACTTTTTATTAATTAAAATTCGCCACAATTACTTAAATTGTAATTATAAAAAAATATCGCAATGCTCTAGTGCCGATATATATTTATTTATTTTTTTTGTTTTTTCAAATTTTTATGTCAAAAAACCAAATGTTATTGTCACTTGACAATTAATTTTATTTTAATTTGTCTTGATGTAGCAAATATCAAATTGAATTGATAACAATTATCCATAAGCTTCATAAAAGAACAACAATTTATTTTTATTTTATTTTTTTTCATTTTTGTCATGTGACAATAAATTATTGAATTTCAGTTTTTAAACTAAAACGAAATCACTCAAGACAATTTTAGTGGTTCACAGAACTTTAACTAAAAATTGTTCATTTAATTTTCGACTCTTCTTTTTTTTTATGGAGGGGATTTTATTAATTTTTCCAATATTATACAAATATAATGTGATTTTTAAAGCATCATAAAGATTTTTGAAAGATATTTCAAAAATACAAACAAAAATCTTTTTTTCTGCTTATTTAAAAAAATGTACATTGTATTAATATTGAGAAAAAAGAGAGAGAAAGAGAGAACAAAATTTTTTTTTTTTCCTATATAAGAAACGGAATGAGAACTTTAATTTCTCAAAAAAAGAAAAAAAAAGAGTCAGTAAAGATCTCATTTCTTTTCTCAAACGTACAAAATAGTTGTACGATTATAATATATATATATAAAAAAAAAATTTCGTTAAAAAAGAAAATAATTCCACTCGATTTTATTTTTGAAATTATTTTCTTCGCTTCGCTTTTTTTTTCGCCTATCCGATGTTAACAATCGCTTAAAAAAACATTTCACAACAATTCCGTGAAACGATTTCTTTTCTTTTTTACAAGAAAATTCCTTTTTCTTCACTTGGAATTTTTCTTCTTCACTACTAATTTTGAAAACAGTGTTTTTTTCAATCTTGTGAATTTTTATCATTTTTCAAAAAAAAAAAGGAAAATAAGAACCGAAAAAAGGGAAGGAAAAAATTCACTGTTTTCAAAAACTAGACCTATAAACGTCGCTAATCAACGATTATACAAATACTCCGTCACACTTTTTCTTTTTTTTTCCTTTTTTCATTTTGTTTTTTTTTTTCTAAAAAAAAAAAGAACCATTTATTTACTTTCGTGTTTTTTTTTTCGGCGCACAACTGCAACAATTCTCGAATTATTGTATATATTTTATATATAATTTGGACAGAGAAAAGTGAGAGTCGCTTTATCAAGAAAAATTGCGTGTGTGAAGTTCCAAAAAATTTGTCAAATAAAAAAAAAAAACGAAAAAAATTTCAAATATCAAAAAGTTTCTGTACAAAATATCAATTGATATTATAATCACCAAGGAACAATATTATGGACTTCACACAACACCTTGATAATAATTCGATGTATTTTGCGACTGATTTTTTTTTTTCACATACATACACGCACGCATACACACACATAAAAAATGCGTGAATTTTTTTTTTTATCTACATTGAAATTTTCTTATTTTCTTTTTTTTTTTTTACAATTTTACATTGAAAGAATTTTTTTTTTATCATTCAAATTTATTTCATCAGACATTTTTTTTCGTCATTTCACAAAAAAAAAAATTATTTCAATGTAAATTGAAATTTCACGTAGATTAAAAAAAAAATTGATTCACGCATTTTCTGCGTGATTTTTTTTTTTGTTATCTTTCAATCGTCAAAACTGCCATAGTGGAAAAAAATTTTTTTTTTCTTTCATCACGATAAATTTCTAAAGAAAAAAAAAAATAATATTTAAAAATTTATTTCTTTGAAAATAAATCGTTTGAAAGGCAGTCAAAACGAATGCGCCCAAAATAATAGAAAAAAATTTAAATAAAAATTTAATTTTACAGTTTGCAACAAGTAAATAAATTTATCATCACAAATTTTACTCTTATAATCAGACTCGTGACTTTTTATCATATTTTTTTTTCTTTTGTTTCAATATCACATCTAACATGGGGTTTGGGGTGAGGGTGTGTTTTTTCAATTCTTTTTTTTTTTTTTTTTTTTTTTTTTGATGAGAAAAAAAGAATCGAAAAAAATCCATAATAAAAAAATTATATATTTCGGAAGAGATCACACTTCATTTGAAGTAATTGACAAAAAAAAACCGGTAATCGATGTTAATAATAATAATAATAATTATAATAATAATACAATAATAATAATTATAATAATAGAGGCAAAAATTGCAGATAAAAGATCACAAGCTAGTTCATTTGTTGATTTTTTAGTTTCTAAGCCGTTAAACTTTTTTCTAAATTGGCTTTTATATATTTTTTTTTCACTAGATAAATAGAAATTTTTTAAAAAAGCTGTTAAAGAGTTTTTTTTTAAATACTGAAGAATAAAAAAAAGCCGATTGTACTTCTTTTCAATTAAATCATTTATCGGAAGAGAAAAAAAAAGAAACGCATAATTTAAAAAAAAAAAAAAAAATGAATCAATCTAAGACGCGAGGTTTTTATCTCATTGGAATTCATTTTTTTTTATATATATTCACTACTTCTTATAGAATGCATATAATAGTGAATTTAGTAAACCTCGCGAGAAAAAAGATGTTTTTTTTCTGGGGGGGAGGGTAGAGGGGGGGAACGGTTTATAATGCTCTCAGTATTTAAAAAAAAAAAAAAAATTTCATATACGGAAATTTTCTTTCTTTTTTTTTTTACCATCAATGGACCCGCCAAACATTCGCACAACAAACGCACCGATTTTGACACATACTTTTTTTTTTTTTTTTTTTGAAACATACCAAGAGTTCAATGAGATTTTTTTTTTTCTGCCAGTCTTCAACGTGTTTTTTTTTTTTAACTTGACATTTTGGCAAATTGACGAATAAAATTTGTGTAGCCAAAGAAAAAACACGTTTTAAAATTGTCGTTCTTTTTCTTTTTTTTTTCACGTGAATAAAAAAAAAGAAATATCTTTTGCCATTGATTTCTTGATATATTTCTCACAATCGCACACTAAATTTAATTTAACTTTAAATAATGATTAATATACCCAAAAGCATTGTAAACCGTTTGTTTTACTTCTTTTTTGTCGTATATAAATGAAGATTTCGTAAAGAAAAATGTCACTTTTTTTTTCTTCGATTACGAAATACTTGATTTTTGTTTTGTTTTGTTTAATTGTTTGTGTATTACGAAATTCTTTTCATAAATCTAGGTCACATATTCGGCTGGTGGTTTAATGAATATTGAAAAAAAAAAAAAAAAATTTTTTTTCTTTTCCATAAATTAATTGAAAATATTAAATATGCTAAAATTGCAAATTATATATATATATAGTTTTTAGCGCTTTTTTCATTTGGACAGTTTCTTAATTTTTTTGTTGTGAGATGTGCAAATAATGCAGGAAAAGAAAAAAAAAAATGCTTCTCAAAGGAATGGAGAAATTCTTTTTCAATCAATTAATTTCAAGTCATTTTTTTTTTTTTTTTGAAAACTTTTCGTTTTCAATGTTTTTTTGTTTTTTTTTTTTTGTTGAAGAGGGTTTCCTTTTCTTTTCAATCACACAATATTTCGATTTGAATATAATTTCTTTTTTTTTTCGTAATCATTAAAAAAAAAATTCTCAATTAATATGTGCGATTGTTTGTTTTGTTTTTAAGAAAAAGATTGTTTTCTTTCTTTTTTTTAAATAAAGAATTTCCCGATTTCTTACGAATACATTTTTGTTTGTTTACTATTTTACATCCACCAGCCAGATTATTTATAAAAATAATTGTATAAAACTGGTCAATTTTACAACATCTGACACTCAATCACAGTATGTATATATTTATATAAATATCAGTAAAAAATCCAATCACATTTTGAAAACTTAAAAAAGAAACGAAAAAAAAAATGTCTATTAAAAATGGAAAAAAAAAATTCTTTTTGAAAAAAAAAAAAAAACAATTTAGTGATTTGAATTTCAGAGTTGTATGACAGTAAAGAATTGAAACAAAATCAAGCCAAAATCGATTTAAAAAATAAAAAAAAAAAACGTTTATACATAAATCTCGAAAATAATAAATGTTATGGGTGTTTTTTTTTTTTAATTCTATACATTGAATATCGATTAACAGCAAGAGTTCTTTTTTCCTTTTTAAACCCATTTTTATGTTGTAAAATGAAAAAAAAAGAAAAGAAAACCGTTTAGAATGAGATAGAATCGGTATAAAAATCTGCTGTTTGAAAATGACAATATATGAAATGTTTGTATATACATTTTCGGCAGAATGAGATGAAAATTCTTATTTTTTGCGTGCTACTTTTTTTTTTTAGATAATGGCTTGACTTTGAATTAGCATTATGTACACTTAAAGATATTTTTTTTTTTTGTTTTATATACAAAGAATGACTCGCACTGGCACTCAAATCACTTCATTCACTGAGTTTACCGAGCGCTTAGCGAATGATTATTTCATGCTCAGTATACCATTATTTACAAGTAAACCATTTGTTTTTTGTCCATATATAAGTCTCGAGGATAATTATTGTGTTTGTTTTTTTTTCATCATCATCATAGTTTCTTCGCGTGCAAACATGTTTATCTAAATGTTTGTATAGCACTGTTCCTTATCTCACTTCTACTTACTATTATTATTTTTTTCCCATAATACACTTTCAATGCACATTTTTTTGTAAATAAATCTTCATCAGACTTAAGTAACTTGAAACTTTTCACACTTGTTTATTTATTTTTTTTTTTAATCATCATCTAAATTTTTCCAAGTTCAAGTTTCAATATCACTTTCGCTTCTTCTTCTTCTTCTTCTTGACCAAAAAAAAAAAAAAAAAAAAAAATCACACACACTTTGAAACTTTTTTCCTTCGTTTTCTTTTCTTCATCTTCTTATTCTTCATGTCTCTTTGAGCGATAATAAAAAGCGATTTTATTTTTATTATGGAAACTACTTCGACACATTACCCTCTTCCAAACTATTATTGTCTTCTGGCCGCGAGACGTATAAACTGGGATCGATCACTTTTGGAATCGGTTTAATTTCAGTGCCAAGTTCTTGTTCAATACGATGAAGATTGAAACGATCCTCATATGTGATTAGATTAATTGCAATACCTAAATGGCCGAACCTTCCTGAACGACCGATACGATGCAGATATGTCTCTGCCATTTTTGGGAAATCAAAATTGATCACAACATTCACTGCTTGCACGTCAATTCCTCGTGTGAATAGATCACTGCAAACCTATAATAAAAAAAATAAGAAAAGAAAAAAAAAACAAAATTACATTAGAATTTTTTACTATCAGGCATTGGATGGATTTTAAGATGAGCCAAAAGTTTTCAACGTTCAAATGAATAAAATATTTTTTTCAATCTATAAATTATTAAAAATTTTAATGTCAATGTTAAATAAAACAATAAATTAAACTAATATTAAATTAATAACTTCTTTTTAGATATTTAAAACAATAATTTTTGATAAAATTCGTATTTAAAGAAGTTACAAAAAAAATTTTGTTCATTTGAAAGTTCAAAACTTTTGGCTCATGACTTTAAGATACAAAAGAAATTGTTTTAGTCGATTTACAATCCTAAAAAAAAGTCGAAAAAGTCGATTTTTTATTTCTAATAAATTTAATTAGTTAATAAATATTTTATTTCTAATAACTATTTTGATTAAATATTGAATTAACCCCCCCCCCCCCCCCCTATGGTTAGACTCGAGGTAACTCGGGGTGACCAAATGTATTATATCTCGTCAATAAAAAAAAAAAAAAAACACGGTTTGTCATGATCCTAATTGGAAATTGAAGATCTAGACATTTCAGAAACACAGGTATGTAAGAAGATTTTAAATTAAAATAAATTTTTGCAAATTTGAATAGCTGTAGATTTTTTAATTTTTTACACCAATTGAATTTGTCAAAGTTTTACGTTCGAGAAGTTGGCAACTATATTTTATTTTTTCAAAAAAGCTATTTTTGTGCTAAATTGTGCTGCAAAAATTTTTTTGAAAAAATTAAAAATAGGGGTCAAAATTTGAAAAAAAAAAAACAGATTTAGACTCAAAAATGATAAATTTTTATTCCAATCAAATCATTCTGCAAGTTATAATGTAATACCAATAAAATCTACAAAAAAAAGATTTAAAAAAAAATTTTTGTTTCAAAAAAAAAGGAAATTTTAATAATCAAAATTAAAATTTTTAATTCTAAAATGGGAAAATATCAAAATTTTTCAAAATCAATTTTTGTGCTGTATTCTGCACGACTAGTACAAAAATAAGCTAAAAGAAACATTTTTGAAAAATTGTTTAAATTCCAAAGAAATTGCAATTTTACTACTCAAAATTAACATTTTTAACCCTAAAATGGGCAAATATCAAAATTTTTGAAAACCAATTTTTGTGCTGTATTCTGCACGACTAGCACAAAAATAATTCCTAAAAATATTTTAGAAAAAAAAAAAATGTATAAATTCCAAAGAAATTACAATTTTATTATTCAAAAATATAATTTTCATCCCTAAAATGGGCAAATATCAAAATTTTCAAAAATCAATTTTTGTGCTTTATTTATTATTTATAATAATTCTTTTTTGCTTTAAGCTTACATAAAAAAAAACACAACTAAAATTGAACTTCAAAAATTTTGACATTTGTCCATTTTTGGCTTAAAAATATTGTTTTCGAGTAATAAAATTACTATTTCTTTGAAATTTACACAATTTTTCTAAAATGTTTTTGGTGTTTATTTTTGTGCTAGTCGAGAAGAATTCAGCACAAAAATTAATTTATAAAAATTTTGATCTTTGACCATCTTAGAGTTACATTTTTTAATTTTGAGTAATAAAATTGCTATTCCTTTTAAATTTTTCCAAAATGTTTTTACAGATTTTTTTTTGTGCTAGTCGTGCAGAATATAGCACAAAAATTGATTTACAAAAATTTTAGTATTTGCCCATTTTAGGATTGAAAATGTCATTTTTGAGTAGTAAAATTGCAATTTCTTTGGAATTTAAACAATTTTTCAAAAATGTTTTTTTAGCTTTTTTTGTAGGGATTTTAATTAATAAATTTTCGTTTTTATGAAAAAAAATTTTTTTTTTAAATCTTTTTTGTAGATTTTATTGGTTTTACATGATAACTTGCAGAATGATTTGATTGGAATAAAAATTAATTATAAATTTTGAGACTAAAACTGTTTTTCCCAAATTTTGACCCCTATTTTTAATTAAAAATAATTAAATAATAATAATAATTAAATTAGCACAAAAATTGCTTTTTTGAAAAAATAAAATGGCGTTCCCAACTTCTCGGACGTCAAAGTTTTTAATTAAAACTTTTTTTAATGGCCTAAATTTCAAAAAAAAATTTTTTTAATAATTTTAAAAACTTGAATTTTAGAAGAGAAACCAACGTAGTTTAAATTATTTTTAAATTTTTCTAAATTTAGGCAATAATTAAATTTTACAGAATTTTTAATTAAAAAATGTTTTAAATAATTTATTTTTTTTTGTTTGAAGAATTTGATGGAAATTATTGGTTAAAATTATTATTAATTATTAAATTATTAAGTTTAGGTATTTAAAAATACTTGAATTTCATGTGATTTTGATTTGAAATTATTGGTAATTTTATTTGCTGTAATTGTTTTCTTTAAAAATTTCAAAGAATTATTGAATTTTTAAAAATATTTAATTGAAAAGTATTTTTAGATATGTAATTGAATTTTTGAAGATTTTTTTTTAGAATAATTGAAAATAATTAAATTAGCCAAGAATTTGGTTTAAAAAATTGTCTTTTATTGACTTAAAAAAATATTTCTTTAGTTAGTAATTAATTTTTTTTATTGAAATAATTTTCGTTGAAAAAAAAAAATTAATTCACGGAATCCATTAAAATTTCATAATAAAATTTATTGTTTTTTTCCGGTTTAAAAAAAAATTCAAGGTTTTCTAAATTAAAAATTTTACAGTAACAGACAAATAAATTCCAAATAATTACCTATTAAAAAAAAAAAATAATCATCTTGTTATACATCGTATGAAAATAAAAAAAAAAATTATATGTAAAAATGTATTACATAAAAATTTACATCAAATAATCTTCAAATAATAAATAAGTTTATTATTTGGTCTAAATTTTTTTATATATTATAATAATAAAAATTCAAAAACTTGAACTCTCTATACCTAAAGTAAAAATGTTTTTTTTTTTCTAAAAATAGTAAAATTTGCTTCAAATTAAAAACAAATTTTCATTCAAAAATGTTCAACAAATTAACGAAATAGAAATTGAACATAAACAATGTTTACAAATTATTTTTTCAAAATAAAAACACTTCAGTGAAGTTCACTAAGTTTATGATCAATGATTGAAAAAAAAATATATTTTTTAACTCGAAAAATAATAATTTTTTGACTACAAATATTTCTTCTAAAAATTATTGCTCGAAGAGCATTGCGGAAATTTTTTTTTTAAATTATAATAATTTGCATAGAAAATTATTTAATTTATATTCAAAGTAAAATCAGAAGATTCTTCTATTTTGAAATGAATGAGTTTTAAAAATTCATAGTTTTTTCAAGGCATAACTCAATTAACATCATTTCCCCATTTTTCAGTTTTTTTTTTTTTTTTTTTTTTATTAATTATTTATTTAGATCTATTAATTTGTAGGTAATAATATTAAACATTTAAAATTTGTTTAAGAAAATATTTGAAATGAGTTTTTTTAGAGCGGGAAGAAAACATCGTCAAATAGTAAAGAATGAAAAAATAATAAATAGTTGCTTACCAAATTTCGGCACAGCCCTGCGCGAAAATCGTGGAAAACGCGGTTACGATGAGCCTGAGCCATTTTTGCGTGGATATAATAACAACAATATCCTAAATCCGTAATTTTCTTTGCCAGTAATTCCACGCGCTGTGTCGTATTACAGAATATTATACTCTGATTTATTTGCAGCTATAAAAATAAACAAACAAATATTTATTATTTAATATTAATAATAATCTATAAATAATTATTACTAATTTTTATTATTAAACATCGAATTAACAAAATTCATTTTAAAAAAATTAAGTTTTTGTTGTTTTCAAAAATTTTGTAATTTTAAAAATATTTTACATACTTTGTAAATTATTGTTTTATCCTAAATGTTTATCACTGTGTATTTAAAAAAAAAAAAAGTTTTAACCATTTCAAAATATTTCTCTTCTTTTATTATAATAGATATTTTCGTTTTTTTTTTTTTTTTTAGATTTTCGATGCCATGTTTAATAATATTTCTGAAGATAATTTTGAAAAATGCTATTTGAAATTGAATTCTTTTTTATTAATAGAAAAATTTATTTGAAAAGTAATAATAAAAATAAACAAACCTTGGAAAATAACGTGTTAAGGCAGTGAACTTTCTGTCTTTCCTGTACAAAAGCATAATATTGTGTCACACCCTTTAGAGTCAGCTCTTCCATCAAATTGATCTCATATGGATCTCTCAAGTGTTTTTCCATGAATTGCTTCACAGTCAGAGGAAATGTGGCTGAATACAGCAATATTTGACGTCTCTGCGGTAATCTGAAAATAAATTTATAAAATATCATAAATATAAAAAAAAACAATTTTTCAAAATAAATTTTCTCAATTGAAAAATTTTTTTTCTTCAGCAATGCAAAAAAGTAATATTTTAAATTTCTCTTATTTTGTATTCTAAAAATAAAAAATACATATAATAATAGTTATATACTCTCCTTACCCCAATAAAATTTCAAAGATAAATAAAAAATATTAAAAATTGTAACACGAATATTCGAATTCGGAAATTTAATTTATATTTAAATTAATTATAATAATAAATTTTTTCTTTTAAATTATGTACACACTGAAAAAAGGGTTTGATATTGATAACCAAACGTTTAGTTGGTATTTAAGCAACCAAATTTTTTTTTGTTGAATCAACAAAATTTTGGTTGTTCAAATCAAACTTTAGTTAGGACAACAAAAATCCTTTTTTTCTAATTTTGGTTGTGTCTGATTGAGACAATTAAAATTTTGTTGATTCAACAAAAAAATTTTGGTTGCTTAAATACCAACAAAACGTTTGCTTGTCAATACCATACCCTTTTTACAGTGGCAAATATAATAAAAACACACCTCGAGATCACGTGATCCAACATTCCTTTAAAGTCTTGAGACAGAAGTTTGTCAGCTTCGTCTAACACGAGAATCTTGCAGTGCTCCATATTTGCGACATTCTGATCGATGAGATCAAGAATTCTACCTGGTGTGGCTATGATAACTTGCACTGTTTCAAAAAAAAAAAAGAGCAAATTAATAAAATTTATGAGATCAAGATTTTCAAGAGAAAAAAAAAGAGTGAGAGACAACGCTAGTTAATTTATAAAAGTATTCTCTCGTTAGAATAACAATAATAATAATAATGTGTGTGTATACCTTTCTGATAAATCCTCATGATATCATCACGCAAGTTTGTTCCACCAGTGGTAACCATCACTTTAATCTCCAAGTGCTTTGCAAGCTCGATCAATATTTGTGAAGTCTGTAATGCCAACTCTCTGGTGGGCACAATTACTAACGCCTGTATCACATCTCTCTTTGAGTCAACCTTTAGACGAAACACACAAAAAAGAAAATCGAAAATCATTCATCATCAAAAATTAATAAACCTTTTTTTTTTTTTAATTACAAATACTGTAAATCGGGGCTATTATGGTACACCAGGAGCTATTATGGTATACACTAGTTTTTAACTTGTAAAATATTCATTTCGAAATGTTAAAATTTTTACACGTAACTATAATTTTGTCACATTTAGTAAATTTATTTAGTAAATTCGGTTTTAGAAATCAGAAAAAAAATTTATGACGAATAAATTTTGTTGGAAATTGGAAAATTCTGTACAAAGCTGAAGTACGCAACGTTTAAGATAAACGATTTTTTAAAATGAAAAATTCTATAATTTTTTGCCTAAATAATATTTTTTTGTATTTTTCATTAATCAACAAATTATATATATAAAAAAAAAATACTTTTTAGGCAAAAAATTATAGAATTTTTCATTTTAAAAAATTATTTCTTTAAAAATCATTCATCATAAACGTTACGTACTTCAGCTTCATAATTCTGTGAAAATCTATATCAATTATAAAAATTCATAAAGGTTAGTTTCAGAAATATTTAAGATACATGTTAAAAATTTAGTTATAAAAATATATACTCGATGGGCAAACTTTTTATTAAGTATTTTAGGAGAAAAGTGTCTTAAAACTTTTTAAAACTTATTTACAGAATACGTAATTTAAAGTTTCCATACAATTTAAATCAAAGATTTTTCCAAAAATATTGTTTTTAATTTGTCAAATAATGAGAAATTGAAATTTTAATTAAATTATAAATTCATTCATTTTATATATTAAATTACTAAATTATAATAAAATCAAGAAAACTCGAAAAAAAAATGAAATCAAAATAAAAGAATATTAAAATTGAAAAATTTTATTTAAAGAAAATAAAGATTTAGGTTTAAAAAAAAAAATTCTTAAAAAAAAGAAAAAAAAAAACTTTTTTTCTCACCTGTTCGAGAACAGGAATAGAATATGCTCCAGTTTTGCCTGTTCCGTTTTTGGCACGCGCCAATATGTCTTTGCCGGAGAGTGCAATGGGAATGCTCGCTTCTTGAATTGGAGAAGGCTTTTCCCAGCCTTTTTCAAAAATTCCCATCAACAATTCTCGTTTCAGGCAAAACTCCTCGAACTCGTTGCCACGTGTGTCTGTTACATCCTACAAAAATTCAATCATTTAATTAAATTTATTTAAAAAAAAGAAAACAATTTTATTTTAACAAATTAAACCAAAAAGAGAAAAAAAACACAATTTTGTTGAAAAATAAATTAAAGATTAATAAATTGCAGAATATTTACAAATTTGTTCTTTCAAATTAAAAAAAAAATTGTTTTCTTACAAATTTTATGTTTTTTTTCTAGAATCAACAACTTTTTTTAAAAAAAAACTAAAAAATTCAATTATAATAAACTACAATTAATTTTCTTTGCAATTTAATTATTTTTACATTCAATGATTCTATTTTAATTTTTTTTTTTTTTAATTTAAAATTATTATATTGGAAAAAAAGAAAAACTTGTATAAAAAATTTAATTTTTTATTTGAAAGAATAATGTAAATATATTTTTCATGTTTATTTTATAATTCTTTAATTTATGGGTAAATACTTTTACGGGCAATATTTTTATTTCGCTCGTAAATTACAAATAAATAAATATATATTTTTTTTAATATTAATAACAAAATGAAAATAAAAATCTTTTTCGTACTTTAACAAATTTCATTACAAGACTTATTCGAAAATTCGGTTTTATATCAATTTTGAATACAAAAAAAAAAAAAATTCCATTTAATAAACAATTTGTTACATGAAACATTTGTCCATTAATTAAAAATTTCATCAACTAAAGAAAGTGTCGGAAAAAAATAAAGTAGAAATTTTGTTATATAAAATAAACTTTGTTCAAAATAAAAATTCTAATTTGTGAAAATTCAATTCAATTTTTTTTCTCTATAAACTTTATAAAATTTTGTTTAAAAATACAAATTCAATCTTATAACATTTTAATCAATGGAAATTTTTTACTAAATAATTTTAAAGGATATTCTTTCTTCTCGACTTTAATCAACAATCCATATTTATTTTTTGATAAACATAAATTTTTAGTTTCAATTTAATAATATATAATATAAATTTAATTAATAAAAACATTTTAATTAAATAATAATTTGATTAATAATTAAATAAATTTTCGAATTTCAGTATAATTATTTTTCATAATTATTAAAATAGAAACAAATTTAAAAAAAAAATGAAACAAAAACAATATTTTTTGAATAGCTTACACTTGTTTTTATTCGTGCATCCTTCGGTGGGATTTTTAGCTTGGCTTTCCAACCTGCATCATCCATTTTTGCTAGATCTGTTTTTGGACCCAAACCAGAATTTAGCATGTGATTGGAATTCATATGTGTTTCGGTCATCATCTTGGAAAATATTTAAGTGCTTCTAACGTCCTGCATCAACATAAATAAAAAACAATTTTTTTTTTATAATCTCTCTTGCATTTCCATTGTTCCAAATATAGAAATTAGATTAAATGCTCCGATAAAACTTGGCGCTTTCTTTCAAAAAGGCTTCATTGACTTTTGTTTTTTTTTTTCTTTCTCACTCAACAAACAAAAAAAAAAAACCACTCATTATTTTATCCAAATAAAGTGGGGAAAAATAATTATAAATTAAAAAGATAATACGCCTAAACAAATTATAAATGAGAATTTAATTGAAAAAATTTCACCATTCAAAAAAAAAAATAAATAAAGAAATTTTTCTTATTTAATTTTATTAAACGAAAATTAAAAATTACAACCTAAATTTTTTAAAATGTTAAAAAAGAATCTTTTCTGGAAATTTTATTTTCTCAAATTTAAAAAAAAAAAAATGTTAAAATTTTTAAAGCTATCTATTTTTTTCAAAGAAAATTTTGCATTGTTTTAAATAGTTGAAAATTAAATGACTCATTTAACTTTAGACAAAATTTTCGCCTAAAATTTTATTGTACACGTGAAGGGAAAATATTTCAAAATCATTAAATTAAAATTGAAAATAGTAGCTACAATAACAAAAAGAAATAAAGAGAGATAGATACCTAACACGAGGCAAAGTTTTTATGTTTGGGTCTTCAATGTAAACATCAAAGTACACAATTAAATAGAAAAACTTCTAAATCGACAAATAAACCTTTTATTTCTTAAATAAGAATTTCTCCTCATTTTTATATCAATTTTGCATCATTAAAATTTTTCATCGATACATAACAAAAAAAAAAAGAAAAATAAATTCAACGATAATTTTAGTGTCTAAAGTTCAATACAAAAAAAGTAAAATGAGATAAAAAAAAGATTAGGTTTTTTTTTTCCTTCAAAATTTGAGATTTAAAACTATTCAAAAGCATTTGGAAAATAAACAAGATAAAAATTAAATAAACACCTAGAAATTGCTTGGGAGTGGAAAAAAAAACTAGTAAATTAATTGAAGAGAAAATTTTCTCTTTAACTTTCAATTAGAAACGAAAAGAAACCAAATGTCATTACTTTAACAAAAAAAAAGCCATACTCTTGTGAACATCCGTATGGTTATCAGGATACTAGTGGAAATTCAAAAAGAACATAATTTATACAAATTTACTCTGTATAACCTTAAAAAAAAAGTAAGACAAAAAAACAAAACAATTAGTGAAAACTAATTTTCCCTTACAAAAAGAAAAAAAAACTCCAAAATCTTAATTCTCGTCGAATAATAACGTAACGGTCGTTCGAAACGAAAGCTATACAGCATAAACTGGTTTCTTCTTAAGATGGGGGATGAGCATTTTTCAAAGGTGAAAAAAAATGCGATAGACAAAATTGTCAAAAAAACGACAACAAAAATAATTTCATTTTCAATGTTAATTAATGAAAAAACAACTCAGAAAACTTATATATCTTACCTTAAAACGGATGGATGTCGATGCTGTTCGAAGCACTCGATTAGGAAACAACAAGCCAAAATGGCCGTTCCAATGTCAAGTCTAGAAATCTTGCAACACGGTATAAAGTTGCAGAGATGTATATAACCCCCGTCGAAAGCACTTATGGTTTTTTTTTTTTTTTTTGTCTCTTTTCTGTTATTTTCGTTCGGGAAATATTTCACGTAATTTATTTTTTTATCGATTATCAATTTTATCGTCCTTTTTTCAAAAGAAATATAAGTTTTTTTTTTTTTTTGCAAATTAACGCACTGCGTCAAATGCGAGAATATTTTGTTAACTGTCGACAAGGCGGCGAACAAGAATATACACGGCTTCTGTCATGGGCAAAGAAATCATAAAGACTGGAACGTGGAAATTGGAATTGTCGCCACCATTTGGATGACCAATGATGACCTGCTCCCCCACTCTTCAAGCATTTAAAACAAAGATGCGCAAATGTTTCATCACAAATTACAGGTAATAAATTTTAATTTCTATAAATTATTTATAAAGATTAATTGTATTAATATTTTAAAAATGAAATAATCACAAAAATTGTGTTTGTTAATGATGTTATTTTTTAAATGTTGATTTTGAATTTCTTTGATGAAATTTTGAGGGTTATGTTCGTGTGTGATGACAGATTTTTCTGACAAAGCGAAACATGGAAAATAAACTGAGGCGGGATATTTGAAATAATTAACATTGTTGAGAGAAAAATATATTTTTCATTTGTTTATTTTCTTTATAATTTTTTTTTTTTAATGGAAAAATATTTCAAATAATCAATATTTTTCCATTTCTTTTTACAATATATTTAGGTATAACTATTTTACTATTTTTTTTATTTATATTCTATTTTAATATTATATCATGTGAGAAAAATTATTTTATTTTATAATATTATAGGTTAAATTTGACTAGTACTTTTTTTTATTCTACAAGTTTAATATTTTTCTTATAAAACTATTTTTGAATTACTTTAATTGTTAATAAACTAAATTTAATTTTATAAATTTTTTTTTTCTCGAGATCCAGTTGCTCAATTTAAAAAATAACTAAATAAATAATTATAAATAAAAAAACGATTTAACATTTGAAAATTTCATTTTTTAATTTTATATAATATGTTTGAGAAATTTTCTCCTATTTCTTTTTAATAAATATTTATAACTATTTTATTATATTTTTTTTTAATTTGTTAATTATAAATATTTCAACAAAATATAATTTTTATTTTAAATAAATAAATAAATAAATAAATAATTTTTTTTCATTTATTATTTATTAAATTTTTACATTTTGTTAAAATTCTACGAATTTTGTAATATTTATTTACATGAATGACTTATCAAATTTTTTTATAAGATAAAATTTTTTTTTTTACTTATATAATGATTTATATCATATTTATTTAAATAAAAATGAATTTTTTTCTCTTAAAATTGCTATTTTGAATTTTAATTTTTAATTAATAAGAATAACAATAATAATAATAATAATAATAATAGTAAATAAGTAGAGGGAAGATAAAAATAATATTTAAAATCATATTATACATTTGCAGGAATCGTCTTTGATAAATCGCTATACAACAAAAAATTAATGTTTTACAAATTTAATTTTTAATAAACATAATATATTACTGATTATTTCGTTTTTGGGATATTTTATATTTACGACATGCTTCTGGACAATGACGTTCTAAATAACGACGTTGAGAAAATGCTTTTAAACAAATTCCACATTTCCATTCCCATTGATGATGATTTCTTGTTCTTTGATGGGCTCTCAGATTTGATCTATAAATTATTATTATTCAATTAAAATTAAATTTTACATAAAGTACCGTAATTTTTTATATTTCAAATTAAATCACAGAAAATTTAAATTTAAATTAACATTTATAACGTTTATGATCAACGATTCAAAAATTCTATATTTTTATTCGAAAAAATAATTAATTTTTTGCCTAGAAATTTTTCCTTTAAAAATTTGTTGATCATAAAAAATTGAAAAAATTATATTAGACAAAAATGTTTATAATAATTTACAAAGATATAATTTCTTCTAAATTTTGTTGATCATAAATATTAATATACATTCGATTAATTATTTTTTTTTTTAAATGATATCATGAAAAAATAGTTTAGATAGTTTTAAATAATGTAGGGGAAATTTATTTTTGAGTTAGTCTTTTTTAAAAAAAAATTTTTTTTTGATGTCAAATCTTGAGAATTATTTTAACTAAAAAATTCATTAAAATTTTTATCTCAATAAATAAACTCAATTGTCATAGTAAATTTTTTTTTATATAAATCTATATAAAAAATACAAAATTTCTTGATTTCATTTTAAAAATTTTATAAAAAATTTGAATTCGATTATTTTACATAAATCAAACTTTGAAAATCTTTCAAGAAAAAAGAAAATTAGAATTTTTTTTTAAATATATATTTTACTGAATTCATATTTGTAATTTTGTCTAAGAATTACTATAATTAATAATAATAATTATAATAATAATAATAATAATAATAATAATAATTATTATTATTATTATTATTATTATTATAAAATATTCATAAACTTATTAAATTTATTAATAATTAAAAAATTCGATTTTTAACTATTTTTGTTTATAATATAATGTGTGTTTTTTTTTTTTAGAGTTTAAAATCGATCCAAGGCCTGTTATTTAAAATTAAATAAAATAATTAAAATAAATATATTTTATTATTATTAATTATTTGAATATTTAAAATGAGAAAAAATTGTAAAATATTTTGAAAAAAATTTCATAACTCACCGATCAGCAAATGATTTATTGCAAACGGGACATTCAAATGGTCGTTCACCAGTGTGAAGTCGCAAATGTCCTTTTAATACCCAAGGACGATCGAAACTTTTATTACAAAATGGACAACAATGCATAACTTTATTTCGTTTCCAATTTGACTGATCACTTTCATTAATTATTGTCGTTTTTTCCATTAATTTTTCCTTTGACTGTAAACATTGACTATCTAATGATAATGTTTCTTCAATTTGAATTTCATTACAATTTTCAGAAATTTCAATTAATTCATCATAATCTTGTAATTGTAAAACATTCATCGATATCTCCGATTCATTTTGTTGTTTTTTTTTCATTTCCAAAATAGTGGAAATTTTTTCTCTTTCAATAATTTTATCCGATGGATAATTAATAATAATATTATTATTATTATTATTATTAAATAATAATTCATGGGAATTTTTTTTCTCAGTCTCAAATTTATCACAATAAATTTCAAAATTATTTTGTGTCACGACATTTGGAGATTCAGATGAATTTGATGAATTTGAATCATTTTGCGAGTCATCCGATATATCGTCAGGATCATTTGGCGATGATTCGTCTGTTATTTCGAGATCGTTTTGAGACTCGTCGGAAATTTCAGGATCACTTGGATTGGAATTATCGTCATTATCATTATCATTATCATCATCAGATAGAGAAATTGTTGATTCGAAATTATTCTCGTCTTGTTTAGCAATAAGACACAATCCAAGCTCCTCGGGAACTTCTGAATTGCAAAGCATTTCATCATTGTCTTTGAATCCATATCTTGTAACAATTGACAATTTCGAACAATTCCATAGAGTTGGAAATTTTTTGTAATTATTATTTTTGATTATTTTCTTTTTTCTTGTACTCGTCACAGGCGCAATCCACGCGATACTCGAATTTAAATCTGAAATTTTTTTTGTTTTTTTAAATTTATTATTTTTTATTACAAATACAAAAAGGTATTTTTTAATTAATTTTCAATATTTTTATTTCGGAAAAATTGGAAAAATATTGATTTTTAATTATTTTAGTTACTTATTTGTTTAGTTGGAATTTTTAGAAAATGAAAATAAAAAAATAAAAAATATTCAGATTTAATCAATTTTCTTTTATGATTTAGGTTTACGATTATTTAAAAAATTTTCTAATTATAACAGAAGAGAATAATAATTTTTTTTTTTCATGACAAAAGTAAAAAAGGAAGTTAAAATGAAAATATAAAGTTAAGCAAAGAATTGAAATTTTGAGAGAAAATCAAAACGATATCGTAAAATAAACGTAGAAATTAATATTAATTAATTATTACAATAATTTTAGAGTATATAAATAAAATAAATGATTAATATTCGTTTATTAAAAAAATTTTTTTTTTTTATTAAATTATCCATCTAATTTAAATAATAGAAGTAAATAAAAAAAAATTATTAACGCACAATAAAAAATTTGTCACATAAATAAAAAAATGTTATTCTATAATTAAAAAATTCAAATTTTTGACACAAAGAATTGAAGAAATATCATCAATAAAAAATAAAAAATTTTTATTGCTATCATCCTAATTTTTTTTATAAAATTAAAAAAAAAATTTCTTCTTTAAAAATAAAAATTTCAATGATAAATAAAGATATTTAAAAATATTCTTAATATTTCAGAAATATGGAAAACAACAAACTTTCTCGATTCAAAAAGACGAATATTTTTCAATTACTCATGTTCAAGGATGAAAGAAAAGAAATTAAATTCAAACAATTATGATATGAGAAGATAAATTGTAAAGAGAGTGGACATTTTTTTTCTTTTTAAACTGTGTTCAACACTATTGAGGATAACAACTTGTCAAGTATGTATATGTGAAATCTATATTCGATTTTTATTATGATATTAATTACCTTCTTCATTTTTGTTGATTCGATTATAACGTAATAGACATTTTATTAAACAACGTGGCATTTCGATTGGAATAATGAAAAAAAAAACAGCAACTCACATTTAACAGAAAAATAAAATTGCAAATAATTTTACATGTTAAAAAAGAGAACAGTGAAAGAAAGCATATAAAATCACTATCACTACTACTGTGGCCATAAGCGACAGTCAATTGTTTTTCACATGACGCTGCAAGCGCAAAACAAATGGGAGTTAATTTTTTAAATCACATATAAAAACCGCCCGGCAGATAAAAAGGTGTTTTTTCATTATTATACTTCTTATTATTATTATTATTATTTTTTTTATTTGCAATATTTTTTATTCAGACAATTGGTGAAAAATTTTAATCGATTTATTTAATTTTTTTTTATATTATTCAATGAACAATATTTTTTCTTTTTTTTTTTACTTTCATCAGGCTTCGAAGTGACACACTTTTTTATTTTTTTGATACTTTTTTTACTACTATTTTTGGCCAAAAGTCACTAAATGCTACTTTTTTCAAAAAATAATTTTAAAAAATGACAGAATTCAAGAATTTTAAATTTTAGCGAATTTTTTGATTCCTGAAAGCTTGCCAAGTTGATAATTTATTATTGGCCGCGTAAACTACTATATAATAATTTTTTTTACACGAATTTTCATTTTTCAAAATAGCATTTAACATAATTTCTTTTTAAACGACCTTTTACTGAATAGAATTTTTAATTTGTCAAATTTTTTTTTTGATAGATTTTTTATTTTACAAAATTTCTCTTTACTCAACCGTTGTTTTTTTTTTTTTTTAATAATTCTAATTTAACCAAAATTCAGACAATAATTTAATTTTAGAGTATTTTGAATTGAAAAATGTTTTAAATAAATTGAAATGCCTAGATCTTGATTAAAGTCAATAGAAATAATTATTTTAACCGAAAATTTGAATTAAAATTTTTAATAATAATTGAATTTCAGATTTTGAATTAAAATTTTTATAAATTAGAATTACTGAAAATTATTAACAAAGTTTCAAACAGTCATTGAATTTTAGAGAATTTTTAATTAAAAAAAATGTTTTATTTAATTGAATTTTTGAATAATTGGATAAAATTTATTGAAATTATTAATTTAGCAAAGAATTTTAGTTACAAATTTTAAAAATAATTGAATTTTGAAAGAGTTCGAGTTAAGATTTTTAGAAATAATTGAATTTTTGGAGATTTTTAATTAAAATTGTTTGTTTTAAAATACTAAATATTTTATATTAGTTTCTGATTCCAAGTTCTAGTATTTAGAAATTCAAATTACTTAAAATTCTACTTAATGAGAATTTAAATAAATTAAAAATAGGTTAAATTAGAATTAGTTCAAGAAACAATTTGGGTAAAGAGAAATTTTGTAAAATAAAAATTCTGTCAAATAAAAATTCGGTACTTTGAAAATTCTGTTGAGTAAACATTTGTTTAAAAATAATTCTGTATTAAATGCTTTTTTTGTAAAATAAAAATTTATGTGAAAAATCTTTTTTATGGAATAATCATAAGCTCCTGCCGTTGTGCTAAAAACAAAAAGTTAATCGAAATTTAACAATAGATAGTTTTTTTTAAATAATCAGGAGAAAAATGATGTTAATTTTATTCCTCAGAATTTTTCTTTCAATTTTTTTAGACAAGAAAATATATTCACTTTAACGTCAAACTTAGAAAACTAAATTTACTTCATTCTAAAGATGCCGTTTTTTTAATACTTTTTTTCAATTTTGGGGATACTTTTTTTTAAAAATGGTATTTTTTCATACTTTTCTTAGTCTCTTACTAACGCTTCGAAGCCTGTATCATGCAATTAAAAAAAAATAATAGGTAATTTAAATTAAAAAATAAAATAAATACAATTGTATTGTTCAGTTTTTTCTACTAATTAATTTCTTAATTGAATAATTTTTTTTTAATTTTGAAAATTAAAAAAATAATTCCTAAAATGTGTTTTTTTATTATTACACTTTATTATTATTTTGTTTGCAATATTTTTTATTTAATCGATTAAAGAAAAATTGTGATCAATTTATTAATTTATTTAATTATTTATATTATTGAATCATATTTCCTTTTTTCTAGTTTTCATTTTCATATAAGTAAAAAAAAAAGTGTAATTTCAATTAAAAAAGTAAAAAAATACAATTGTATTGTTCATTGATTTTTGAATTGAATCATTAATTTCTATTTTTATTTTAAAAAATTATAATTTTTTATTTTCAGAGATTGAAAAAAATCAAATAAAAAAAATATAAAATACAATTTTATTAACTATTTTAATTTAATTGTTTTTATTTTATTTTAGGTATACGTTTATTTATATTCTTAATTGATTTATCTTTTCAAACTTTTAATTTTCCTCAATTATTTATTTAAAATACATGTAAAAGGAATTACAAAAACTGTAGCTTTTTGTATAAAAATTGTAAATTCTAAATAATAATTTAAATACAATTCTGGTTAATTACAATATAATTTTTATAAAGTTAAGTTAATAAATCAAACAAATAATTATGACAATAATTTTAGTTTGTATTTTTTAAATTTATTTATGCAATTTCGGTTTAAAATTTGTTTAATTATTATTAGTATTATTTATTAATTAAATAATTAAAATATTTGTGTTTTTTTTTCATTTAATAATAATAATTGAAAAATAATTTTTTCCAAGATATTATATAAATAAATAATATTATTATATTACATCACACAACACGTAATATAATGAAATTATTTTTTTTATAAAACTAATTTTACTTTTTGCTTTAAAATTTACAGATTTTTCAAAATATAATCCATGGAATAATAGAAATAATAAAGAAATAAAGGAAGTATACGATCCTCATTGATAAATGACAATGACAACAATTTAATATTACAAACAAAGATGAAACTTATATCAAGTTTGTGTTATCATTTACAAATTTGTGAAAATTTTCTATGATTCTCTTCATTCGTAAGTTTTATTTACCCGTTATTATATTATTCGTTTAAGATTATTGATGAACCAATTTCTACTATTTTATAAGATATTTCATATGTGAGCAATATTGTTTTTATTTACAATAGATATACACGATTTATTTTTAATTTAATAATTTACTCGATCATTTAAATAGTAGATTTTTACATTTTTTTTATCTCAAACAATTTATTTTCTTTTAAAAATTTTTTTTTCCATTTAGACTTTTTTTTTGAAAAAAAAAGAAAACTTCTTTCAAAAGCAACTAAATTATCTGGTTTTTCCAGAAATTTTGATTGATTTTATTTAATAATTTTGTTAATTAAATTTTTTTGTTCATCACATTTTTATTTATAAAAGTAAAAAAAATATGATATTACCTAGTCATATATATTTTTAATAATTTTTATTTATATCTAATAACAGTGTAAAAATTTATTAATAATTAATTTATTTATTTAATAATTATATGTAATAATAGCAATTTAACGTTGTTTTTTTTTACAAATTATTTATTTACTAATAATAATTGAAATTTTCAATTATGTTGAAATTTAAACAAATATTTTTTATATTTACCGATTGTGAAAATATTTATTAAATGAATATTATGTTTGAATTTCTTGTTTAAATTTTATGATCGTGTATTATAAATTGTGAACAACCTGATATGATTGCTCCCTAGCACTTAATAAATTGTATAAGTAGATTTAGTTGTTATCAGTAGGGCTCTTTCACATCGTCTGATTGATAGAATACTCTTCCCATCCAACAGACATCGTGAAGTTTTTTTTTCAACTATAACTTAACGGCTTTTTTTAAATTATTATAATACTAAATAAATTACAATAAATTGATCACAAAAAATCTCCATGAGGAAGCACAAAAAAAAATACAAAAAATTTATACTTCAACTTAGTAGCAGTTTTTATTTATTTATTTATTTTTTAATATAAATTTTTGATATTTTAAAATTCAGATAACTTAAATTTTATAGATAAATATTTAGTATTTAACTAATTTTTTTTTATCTTAGTTTATTAATTTAGAAAATTTTAAATTATAAAATTTAATTTATTTTCAGATTATGTATCGAGTGCTTTTTTTGTTATTGCCTTTCAGCGTAATAACTTTACCTACTGTTAGTAAATATTTGTGTGTGATATATCCAAAAAGATATTTTCTTTGCAATAATGAAAAATGTCTATTTTTTACTGCAAAATGTAATGGTTACAATGACTGTGGTGATAATTCCGATGAAGATAATTGTGAAGAGTTCAAGGTTTGTCTTTTTATTATAAAAAATTATTCATATTAACCTTTTTAGAAAAAAGAAATTTCTTAATTGTTTTGAATTATTTTATTATTTTTATTTTTACATATATAAACAGAAATAAAATAAATAATTAGGTACATATAAAAATAAATATAAGAAAAAAAAATTTTATTTCTTCCATTTTAAAATTTCGTCTTGTGCAGCTTCATTCAAAGAAAAATTAAAAAATAACTTTAAATTAATTTTGTGCTAAAATATTTGATTTTCTTCTTGATTGGTGACAAATAAAACGATAAATATTTAAATTTTTTAATTTGAAAAATAATCTTTGAAAGAATGATATTTTTCTAGACTGTTATATATAGATCGGAAAAAACCTCAGCTTTCGTTTGCAATTATTTATTTAAAAAAAAAAAACGGACCGATTTCAGTGAAAATAGCAAATTTATGTTTAATTATAATTAAATTAAATTTCTATAATTATAGAAAATGAAGATCAAAATTCAAAAATTTTTAAAAACAAAATTCACCATTGGAAAGAGCATGAAAAAACCTTCAAAAAACATACCTGCCAAAATTTTTTTTATTGTATTTATAGACATCAAAAATTCAAATAGTAGAAAAAATTTTTTGGGAATATTTTACTATCAGGTAGGATAACAATTTCCCTAAGTTTTACTTTTTTTCCAGAAATCAATTTTTTAACTCAGAACATTACATGTAAAATGCCTCCTATAATACACGATTATAAAAACAATTGAATATTATAAGAAAGTCAATCGTCCTCAATTGTAAGAACACGATTAAAAAATACGATTGCGGGGACAATAGACATTTCTATAGAAGGGAATAATTAAATAAATATATTTTTAAAAAATTTTAATTTAATAGCACTTGTAATTTTTTAATTTGACAAATTTTAAAAAATCTAAATCCAACTTGAACATTTTTTTTAAAGCTTTAAAATTAAATTATAATTATAAATTTTTTTATTTTAAATTCAAATGTCTTCAATGATGAATTATTCACTTTATTTTAATATTGAATTTGCAAATATTAATTTCCTAATATTATCTGCTGACAAAAAGTTGTAAAAAAAAATTTTATTTATTTTTTTTTTTTTAAAGTTCTTCTATCTGGCTTGTAATTTTTTGCTCATAATTGTATATTGATAATTTGTATTGAAAGTTAGAGAAAAAATATTAGATAATGTATTTATTTATTAAAATTGTTTTATTTATTTATTAAAATAATAAAGGTAATTATTAATTTCACTGATATTTATTTTCTGATTTCAGCCACCAACAATTCATAACTGTACAAAGGATGAGTTTCAATGTCGAAATAAATTATGCATACCGATAAATGATTTTTGCGATATACGCGAAGATTGCTTAGACGGAAGCGATGAATATGACGGCTGCGAAAGAATGGTTCGATTTTTTTTTTAATTCAATGCAATTTTGTTTTTAATTATTCAAAATTACATATATAATTGGTTAAAAAAAATTTTCTAAATTAATTAGGGTCAGTTGGAGTAAATGGGGCCAAAATCGCTATTTTTCACAAATTACGTAAATTTCTTCCTTTAAAAGGTAATATTTGTGGGTTTATTTTTTTTAAGTTGTTATTTACGTTCCCAGGATTAATTTTATGCAGCAGAAAAAAATTTAGATAAGCTTTAAATACATGAAATTGACTGTTCCTATTTACCCCAAAATTTAGAAAATTTCATAAAATTTTGGGTAAATGGGGTCAGCACAGTTTCTAAGAAAGTTTTAAGAAAAAAGTTTCCTTAAGGCCAGGTCCAAGTGAGGCAGCGCCATCTACATTGAAACTAAAATTTTGAAAAATTTTCAACAGCCTTTTCTTGAAAACAAGAAGGTAAAATGCTTTTTCCTTTATGGATAATTGATTATTGGCAAGATATACACTAGCTAAAACTTTTTTTGAGTTAAAATAATAAAAAAAATTTCATGTCAATAAATTAAATATGAGCACTTTTTTCACAAAAACTGTAACAGTACTTTCTCAGAAATTACAATCAAAAATGCAATTTCCATTTGGAAAATTAATAAACGCTAAAAAATACACGACCTAAGATTTACCAATCACGAAAATAACAAAAAAAAATTTTATTAAATATTTAACATATTGATACTGCTTTACTGATTGTGACAGCCCTTTGGTAGATTATGTATTTCAGGTGGTTAGCAACAGCGCCAATCACCTTCTTTCGGCAAAATCGCGAAATGTCTGGTGACATATATAACCTGCCAAACGGCTGTCATAATGAGTAAAATATGTTATGTTAAAAAACTTTTTTTTTGTTATTTTCGTGATTGGTAAATCTTAGGTCGTGTATTTTTTAGCGTTTATTAATTTTCCAAATGGAAATTGCATTTTTGATTGTAATTTCTGAGAAAGTACTGTTACAGTTTTTGTGAAAAAAGTGCTCATATTTAATTTATTGACATGAAATTTTTTTTGTTATTTTAACTCAAAAAAAGTTTTAGCTGGTGTATATCTTGCCAATAATCAATTATCCATAAAGGAAAAAGTATTTTACCTTCTTGTTTTCAAGAAAAGGCTGTTGAAAATTTTCCAAAATTTTAGTTTCAATGTAGATGGTGCTGCCTCACTTGGACCTGGCCTTAAATATATTACTATATTAAGAGATAAAAAAAACTTGAAAAAAATTTGTAGTAGATATATAATAGTTGAACCAATTGAAATTTTTTTATTTTTTTTTTAAAATCATACCAAATTTTTTTCTTATTCCTTATGACTGAAACAGTTTGACTTTGATTTTCAAGTTTTTATGCATTGATCGATAACTTTTTTTATCTTGCTGCCAATTGTCAAGATAAAAGCTTGGCAATACTCAAAACCTCTTGCAGATGATCTGAGGTTAAAATATTGACGTTGAACTTAATTTTAAAACTGTAAATTAAGCTCCAAAACCTCTTGTCCCCATTTACCCCAACTGACCCTATATCATAATTTTATATAATTTATACAGTTAATTTAAAGAGGAATGTGCCATAACAAAAAGTAAAGATTTTTTCATGCTTTTAAAATATATTAAAGTTGAATTAATTTTACGTAATTTTGTATAAAGTTTAAACAATTTTCAACGTCTGCTTTTTTTTCATCGTCGATAAATATATGAAAATTAAAGTGAGCTAAATAAATATTTCAGCAAAAGTTCCGTGAAACATGGCAACATTGCATTTTTTTAATTAAACGTAATTTGGCGCGAAATTTAAAAACTGCTACACAAAAACATGAGATATCATTCCGGAAAGATAGAATAGTCGAAGGTGGCGTTCGTAACGGGAAAAACCTTAAACTATTGATTTCCCTAATGAAAGTCGTCTGCTATTTTTGAAAAGTATATTTATTATAAAATCACATAATTCCATATTTTTGAAAAATTAAGTAATTGAATAAATAGTAAATAGTAAATGTTAAATATGAAATATTATTTGTATCTAAAAAGGCATTTACAAATTAATTAATTTTATTAATTTTCATGAAGTTCTTTAAAAATTCACTAACTTTGAATTTCTTTTTAATACACATTCTTTAACAATCAATTATTGTTTTTTTTTTGTTTTTACAGTAATCTGTAGCTATTTAATTGTAAAAAAAAGTTTCCATTAAAAATCTCTTATAATTAAATTAATTCGATCTAAGAATCTTGCGAATATATGACTTCCGAAATTCAATTATTTTTAAAATTCTTTATAAATAAGTAAATGTAATAAAAATGTTTTTAATCATATTTAAGTAAAATTCAATAATTTAAAACATTTTAAAAACTCTTCAAATTGTCATAAATCACACCAGTTTACAGTGAAATTGCCAATTGAACGAAACATTTTTTTGTTTTTTGAGTAAGAAAAACATATTTTTGGATATTTTTTTCTTTCGTGCAATTTTGCTGAATCTAAAAAAACACATTTTCGAGGTGTGACGTTACTTAAATTCACCTGTAAAAAAATTAGCTTGTCAAAAATAAATAATATACCATTGGAAAGGTATAATTAAATTACCTTTCGAATTGTCGGTCGTCGTACTGTAAAAACAATAATTGTTTGTTAAAGAATGTGTATTAAAAAGAAGTTTAAAGTTAGTGAATTTTTAAAAAACTTCATTAAAATTAATAAAATTAATTAATTTGTAAATGACTTTTTAGATACAAATAATATTTCATATTTCACATTTAATATTTATTCAATTACTTAATTTTTCAAAAATATATGGAATTATGTAATTTTATAATCACCACCTCCGAGTATTCTAATTTTTCGGAATGATGTTACCAGAATTGGGGACATTTTTCCTCGAATCCACGTATGGAGTGAAGACTCCTTATTCTTACTTCATGCGTCGAACAGACAAAAATGTCGAAAAGCCATAACCTCGAAAAGTCAAGACGTCGAACAACCAATACATCGAACGGACAAAATGTCGAATATTTGTATTGAAGTAAGTATAATTATTACAATAAAAATATTCGACATTTTGTTCGTTCGATGAATTGGCTTTTCGACATTTTGTCAGTTCGACATGAGTTCGACGTATGTATTGGCTTTTCGACATTTTGTCCATTCGACGTATTGGCTTTTCGACAACTTGCCATTCGTCATTTTGTCTTTAAATAAATTAATTTCAGACGCTATGTTTATTTATCTGATGTCATCAGTGACAGTAAAACATAAACAAAAGACTGCTGATTATACTACGCGATTCAAAAAAGGTTATTTATAATATTCAATCAAATGCATCATTGCAACGTTTCTTAAAAATTTTATTCGTTTTTTCAAATTTGGATATAGAATCTATAATTCTTAAGGGGGGCGCCTACTTTATCGGGTCAAAAAAATCGATTTTTTAAAAGTTGTCTTAACTGAAAGTACAATTATCAGAGAATATGCTCTTAAAATATTACGTCAAAATACAAAGTATTTTTCGAATTACAGCTTGTAGAATGCAATAAAGCGCGTGGCCTGGCGCGCGACTCCACTCGCGGTCTCTAATACTTTTCATAATTTGTTGCGCTTATCTACTATTACACCTACCATTAAAATTACCATTTATCAGTAAAATGTCGTCTTATCCAAGAGCTACCCATAAAAAAAATAGTCGTTCATCGAGGCCTGTGACTGCCGTAAGTTTTTAATAAACAGCACTTATATGTTTTTCAATCTTTAAACTCGTTTTTCTCAAAACACTGTTTTTGTAGTTTGCGTACACGATAGACAAAAATCTATTCAACCGATTAAGGTCTACCTGGGCTTGTTTTGAAGATAAAAAGTGTCTCTTCTGTATGAATTAAATTTGTTTTTGATAGAGTTAAATTTAGTGCTTTCTTTTAAAGAAAAAATGAGATTTTTTTTGGCGAAAATTAAATTTTTTTTAAAAAAGTCATGTAAAAATGTCAGTTTTTACTTTCTATTGAAATCTTTTAATTCATACAGAAGGCAATAATGTATATTTAAAGAAAAAAATTTTTTTTTGTTTTAGATAAGAATTGTGGACCCTAGGTTGTACGCAATGGTACATAAGGTATATATGGTATATAAGAAAACATACACTAAATCTCGCATCGATTTATTTAAATGTGTTTGAGAAAAAATTTCCTGAAATGTACGCAGTTTTTTACCTTCTAAAGTAGGCGCCCCCCTTAATGTATTTTGAAAAAGATTTTACTTTTAGCTATTCTTAGTGTTAGTGTATTTCACAGATAGATAATACACATAAAATCGTTCAAATAATTATAATTTATAATGATTTTAGTTTAAATGAATTTTTTGTGAGTCACTCGGTATAACAATTTTCTTTTGCCAATATCTCATTAATTTTACGATATTTATCCTAAATTCTTTGCATTTGTGATTCGTAGTTCCATTGAAGTTTCAATGAAACAGCTAACACGACTTGGACCTGGCCTTAAAGATAGGTCCTAGTATGGCAGAACCACCTATATCGAAATAAAATTTCGAAAAATTTTCCACAGTATTTACTTGAAAACAAGACAATAAAATGCTTTTTCCTTTAAGATAATTTATTATATTGTCAAGAAATACACCAGCTAAAACTTTTTTTAAGTTAAAATAATGAAAAAAATTAAGAGCATTTGAACCTTCGTGACGTCACAAATCATGGCGCATGACACGCAAACTTCTCAGGTATGTGAAAAGCACAATTTTGAATATTTTTTAAAAAAACCTTTTGGAAAATGTTCAGAATAACATAGACACTGTCTGTTATGTGCGGAAAATTCAAAATATTACGTTTAAAACGTTTTTTAAACAATGTTTAAGTTGGTTGTCACAAGTAAGGAAAAATACACGAATTGCTCATATGTTGGCCATTTTTGGAAAGACCAGGATAAATTAATTTTATTATAACTAATAATTAAAATTGTTTATTACTAATTAAACAATAATCAATTGGTAGGTTTTTTTTAAGATTATACGTGTTGTTCTAGGGTAAAAAAATAATAGAGACATGATGATTAATTTTATTTGAATTTGTAAGGAATTTTTTCATTTTCCAGGAAAACATTCTATCCCAAAAAATGAAATAAAATTGATTATTCTTAGTTTATTGCAATTTAGGTTCAATTGGTAGGTTTTTTAAAGGTATTACGTGTTGTTTTGAGGTAAAAAAATAATACAGACATTCTGATTAATTTTATTTGAATTTGTAAGGAATTTTTTCATTTTCCAGGAAAACATTCTATCCCAAAATATGGAATAAAATTGATTATTCTTAGTCTATTGCAATTTAGGTTCAAATAGTAGGTTTTTTTGAAGGTATTACGTGTTGTTTTAAGGTAAAAAAATAATACAGACATGCTGATTAATTAAGTTTGAATTTGTAATGAATTTTTTCATTTTCCAGGAAAACATTCTATCCCAAAAAATGGAATAAAATTGATTATTCTTAGTTTATTGCAATTTAGGTTCAATTGGTAGGTTTTTTAAAGGTATTACGTGTTGTTTTGAGGTAAAAAAATAATACAGACATGCTGATTAATTTCATTTGAATTTGTAAGGAATTTTTTCATTTTCCAGGAAAACATTCTATCCCAAAAAATGGAGTAAAATTGATTATTCTTAGTTTATTGCAATTTAGGTTCAATTGGTAGGTTTTTTAAAGGTATTACGTGTTGTTTTGAGGTAAAAAAATAATACAGACATGCTGATTAATTTTATTTGAATTTGTAAGGAATTTTTTCATTTTCCAGGAAAACATTCTATCCCAAAAAATGGAATAAAATTGATTATTCTTAGTTTATTGCAATTTAGGTTCAATTGGTAGGTTTTTTAAAGGTATTACGTGTTGTTTTGAGGTAAAAAAATAATACAGACATTCTGATTAATTTTATTTGAATTTGTAAGGAATTTTTTCATTTTCCAGGAAAACATTCTATCCCAAAATATGGAATAAAATTGATTATTCTTAGTCTATTGCAATTTAGGTTCAAATAGTAGGTTTTTTTGAAGGTATTACGTGTTTTTTTAAGGTAAAAAAATAATAGAGACATGCTGATTAATTTTATTTGAATTTGTAAGGAATTTTTTCATTTTCCAGGAAAACATTCTATCCCACAAAATGTAATAAAATTGATTATTCTTAGTTTATTGCAATTTAGGTTCAATTGGTAGGTTTTTTAAAGGTATTACGTGTTGTTTTGAGGTAAAAAAATAATACAGACATTCTGATTAATTTTATTTGAATTTGTAAGGAATTTTTTCATTTTCCAGGAAAACATTCTATCCCAAAATATGGAATAAAATTGATTATTCTTAGTCTATTGCAATTTAGGTTCAAATAGTAGGTTTTTTTGAAGGTATTACGTGTTTTTTTAAGGTAAAAAAATAATAGAGACATGCTGATTAATTTTATTTGAATTTGTAAGGAATTTTTTCATTTTCCAGGAAAACATTCTATCCCACAAAATGTAATAAAATTGATTATTCTTAGTTTATTGCAATTTAGGTTCAATTGGTAGGTTTTTTAAAGGTATTACGTGTTGTTTTGAGGTAAAAAAATAATACAGACATTCTGATTAATTTTATTTGAATTTGTAAGGAATTTTTTCATTTTCCAGGAAAACATTCTATCCCAAAATATGGAATAAAATTGATTATTCTTAGTCTATTGCAATTTAGGTTCAAATAGTAGGTTTTTTTGAAGGTATTACGTGTTTTTTTAAGGTAAAAAAATAATAGAGACATGCTGATTAATTTTATTTGAATTTGTAAGGAATTTTTTCATTTTCCAGGAAAACATTCTATCCCAAAATATGGAATAAAATTGATTATTCTTAGTCTATTGCAATTTAGGTTCAAATAGTAGGTTTTTTGAAGGTATTACGTGTTGTTTTAAGATAAAAAAATAATAGAGACATACTGATTAATTTTATTTGAATTTGTAAGGAATTTTTTCATTTTCCAGGAAAACATTCTATCCCAAAATATGGAATAAAATTGATTATTCTTAGTCTATTGCAATTTAGGTTCAATTGGTAGGTTTTTTTGAAGGTATTACGTGTTGTTTTAAGGTAAAAAAATAATAGAGACATGCTGATTAATTTTATTTGAATTTGTAAGGAATTTTTTCATTTTCCAGGAAAACATTCTATCCCACAAAATGTAATAAAATTGATTATTCTTAGTCTATTGCAATTTAGGTTCAAATAGTAGGTTTTTTTGAAGGTATTACGTGTTTTTTTAAGGTAAAAAAATAATAGAGACATGCTGATTAATTTTATTTGAATTTGTAAGGAATTTTTTCATTTTCCAGGAAAACATTCTATCCCACAAAATGTAATAAAATTGATTATTCTTAGTTTATTGCAATTTAGGTTCAATTGGTAGGTTTTTTAAAGGTATTACGTGTTGTTTTGAGGTAAAAAAATAATACAGACATTCTGATTAATTTTATTTGAATTTGTAACGAATTTTTTCATTTTCCAGGAAAACATTCTATCCCAAAATATGGAATAAAATTGATTATTCTTAGTCTATTGCAATTTAGGTTCAAATAGTATGTTTTTTTGAAGGTATTACGTGTTGTTTTAAGGTAAAAAAATAATAGAGACATGCTGATTAATTTTATTTGAATTTGTAAGGAATTTTTTCATTTTCCAGGAAAACATTCTATCCCAAAATATGGAATAAAATTGATTATTCTTAGTCTATTGCAATTTAGGTTCAAATAGTAGGTTTTTTTGAAGGTATTACGTGTTTTTTTAAGGTAAAAAAATAATAGAGACATTCTGATTAATTTTATTTGAATTTGTAAGGAATTTTTTCATTTTCCAGGAAAACATTCTATCCCACAAAATGTAATAAAATTGATTATTCTTAGTCTATTGCAATTTAGGTTCAAATAGTAGGTTTTTTTGAAGGTATTACGTGTTTTTTTAAGGTAAAAAAATAATAGAGACATGCTGATTAATTTTATTTGAATTTGTAAGGAATTTTTTCATTTTCCAGGAAAACATTCTATCCCACAAAATGTAATAAAATTGATTATTCTTAGTTTATTGCAATTTAGGTTCAATTGGTAGGTTTTTTAAAGGTATTACGTGTTGTTTTGAGGTAAAAAAATAATAGAGACATGCTGATTAATTTTATTTGAATTTGTAAGGAATTTTTTCATTTTCCAGGAAAACATTCTATCCCAAAATATGGAATAAAATTGATTATTCTTAGTCTATTGCAATTTAGGTTCAAATAGTATGTTTTTTTGAAGGTATTACGTGTTGTTTTAAGGTAAAAAAATAATAGAGACATGCTGATTAATTTTATTTGAATTTGTAAGGAATTTTTTCATTTTCCAGGAAAACATTCTATCCCAAAATATGAAATAAAATTGATTATTCTTAGTCTATTGCAATTTAAGTTTAAATAGTAGGTTTTTTTGAAGGTATTACGTGTTTTTTTAAGGTAAAAAAATAATAGAGACATGCTGATTAATTTTATTTGAATTTGTAAGGAATTTTTTCATTTTCCAGGAAAACATTCTATCCCACAAAATGTAATAAAATTGATTATTCTTAGTTTATTGCAATTTAGGTTCAATTGGTAGGTTTTTTAAAGGTATTACGTGTTGTTTTGAGGTAAAAAAATAATACAGACATTCTGATTAATTTTATTTGAATTTGTAAGGAATTTTTTCATTTTCCAGGAAAACATTCTATCCCAAAATATGGAATAAAATTGATTATTCTTAGTCTATTGCAATTTAGGTTCAAATAGTAGGTTTTTTTGAAGGTATTACGTGTTTTTTTAAGGTAAAAAAATAATAGAGACATGCTGATTAATTTTATTTGAATTTGTAAGGAATTTTTTCATTTTCCAGGAAAACATTCTATCCCACAAAATGTAATAAAATTGATTATTCTTAGTTTATTGCAATTTAGGTTCAATTGGTAGGTTTTTTAAAGGTATTACGTGTTGTTTTGAGGTAAAAAAATAATACAGACATTCTGATTAATTTTATTTGAATTTGTAAGGAATTTTTTCATTTTCCAGGAAAACATTCTATCC